GCAGCTAGCAAATCTGCAGCAACTGCGTGATGCTATCATTTCAATATGGACCAAAATCTCTGGGAAATATTTCCAGTACCTTGTTGAATCTATGGCACAAAGGATTAAGGTAGTTTTGAGGGCAAAAGGGGTCCAACCTGGAACTAGTAAGGTGTACCTAATAAAGTGGCCGGTGGGTATATGTCTTACTAGTAAATTCCATACTGTAATGTGATCCATAAATTGAACATCTCCTATGTTAAAGTGACACTGTATTATAGAAGCGGCTGCATGCACTGGCCAGTGGAAAGCTCACACTGGCATCCAGGTTAATTGGTCCACTGATAAAATGTTACAGGTTCGGGAGCAGCCCTTCTCTCTGCCGGAAATAGTGTGTCCTTGAATATAGCTTGGCTGATATTATTACCACTGCACCCTGGGTATTGTATGAAGATCTGAATGAAAAACATCTGCCAAATGAAACAGAATAAAAGGACGCTCAGCACTTTTTCTGGTAACCTACACACTGCTGAAACAGCCAATTCTGTTTGATTGGTTTCGAGATTTGGGAATATAGTAGACACACACACACGCACACGCACACACACATACACATACACACATACACACCATACACACACACACACACACAGGAATATATATATATATATATATATATATATATATATATATATATATATATATATATATATATATATATATATATAAAGAGAGAACACATCAAATCAAATCTGAAATGAACTGTCAGTCAAAAATCTGTCTTGCTGTCAAAAAGTCTACTGAATCTACTGATTCATCTAATGCACCAAGATTTTTGAAGGAGATATTTTTCTTATATTCACCAGGGCAGCGTTTGTTTTATTATTTAGGCCTTTTACTGGCTGTATTTCAAGTATAGTACAACAGAAACAGTAATATTGAATAGTATTATTGCAATTTATGTGTAGATTTTTTTTTTGGTTTTTTTTTTTTTCAGGGTTTCAGGGTCAGAATTCAGGGTTGTTTTATGATATAGTCAAATGCTGTATCCCAAAAACTAAAATAATAAAAACAATTTGTCACCTTGGAATTATAAGGTTCTCTCTGTGTTCTGAATGATTTTGAGATATCAAGCTTTAAAGTTTCTGCATTTCATATAATTAACAGTATGTGTGTAACATTTGTTTTTTAAAAAGAATATATCAATACCTCAATTTTGACAAAAATGTCAGATAGAACCTTATAATTCTAAGGTGACCAATTATTCACAAAAGAAACTGCTGATCTACGGAGAGTTTCACGCACAAACATCTTTTGACATAGAAATATTGTCTGGTCTGTGTATTTGTCAGACATTTGATAAACTCTAAACTTCTTGTATACATGGTGCTATTGCGAAAACTGGCCGTTTGTGGCATTCAGCTTTTAATGTTGAGTCATCCTTTTTAAAATCATAAATTTTTTTTTGTAAATTATTTGATCTACGGAGATTGTTGAATTGATTTCTTTGTTTTCATTTATTCATTTATTTAAAGTCTACCAGGAGTGGGATGGCTGGGAGTGGGTTCTGAATTTGCACTTGATTTGTTTTATATTGTTACCGAAAATAATAATAATAATAATAATAATTACTCGTGACTTTGAACGTGGCATGGTTGTTGATACCAGATGTGCTGGTCTGAGTATTTCAAAAACAGCTGATCTACTGGGATTTTCACGCACAACTATCTCTAGGGTTTACAGAGAATGATCTCAAAAAAGAGAAAATATCCAGTCAAATTAGGTAAAGATTTAGTTTTAAAAACATAATTTAAAAAAATTCAATATGTAATCAAGACATAATTAAAACTATTAAATATTGTTTACACAGTTAAAGTCAGAATTATTAGCCTTAAAGTCTTATTTGCTTTATTTTGGCTAGAATAAAAGCAGTTCTTAATTAAAAAAAAAAAAAAAAACATTAAGGTAAAAAAATTATTAGTCTCTGTAAGTTATATATTTTTATAAGTTATTGATATATATTTATATATCAATAGTCTACAGAACAAACCATTGTTATACAATAACTTGCCTAATTACTCTAACCTGCCTATAAGTCAATTAACCTAGTTAAGCCTTTAAATGTCACTAAGCTGTATAGAAGTGTATTGTAAAATATCTAGTCAAATATTATTTACTGTCATCATGGCAAAGATTAAATAATGCAGTTATTTAAACTGAGTTATTAAAACTATTGTTTAGAAATGTGTTGAGAAAATCTTCTCTCCGTTAAACAGAAATTAGGGGAAAAATAAACAGGGGGGCTAATAATTTTGATTTTCAACTGTATCATTTTAGTTTTACAAGATGCTCCACATGTTGTTATTATTATTATATTATTATTGTCTTGCATTAAGACAAAATATAGAAAAGGAGATTGAGTGAAATAAGAAAAAACAGCAAAATAAATAATTTAAGAGTAAATTAAAGTACAAACTTCTGGGCCCCATGGCTGAAATTGCTTAGGGCCCCCAAATCACTAAACCCTCCCCTGATTCTACATAAAATAAATGTTTGTTTAGCGTCCTTCTTCAGTTATCATAAATCATGACAAAGTTATTTACCCATTCATTTTTCATGAGAATATTTAAAAGCTAACTCTGCCCCCTAGCGAGAGATACCGTTCATTGCAACTTCTCAAACAGCGATTCAGTGATGTTAAAGAATTCTTGCTGCCTTAAATTCTTTAGTTGAATCAAACTAACTTTTCAAGTCATTTCAACTTACATCAATCAAACTGACTAAAAATATTAACTTAAACTTTGAATAACTTAAAAACGTAGTTGAAGCCTGATTAGGTTATTAAAATAAGGTAAAGCGACATAAAACTATTTGTTGTCTTGACTTTTTGTCATTACATTTTCAGAATTATCACTTACTGAAGCGAACACCATTAAACAGCGTTTTACTAGCAGTCACATAGCAAACATATTCTTTATTCATTTTTTAAAGCAAATCCATAAAACAAAATATTCAAAACAAACAAAAAAATGAACATTTTCATCGTCTTCACAGGGACTGAATATGATTATATTTTTTCCTTCTATCATTCAGTCAAAAAGTTCCCATAATCTGATCTGCTGTGGGCTTAATTCATTCTGAACCACTCACACAAACTCTTTCACAAATGTTGAGAATGATCATGTGCAATGTGTGTCTCATTATCACTATCATGCGTGTGTGGTCACATATTCTAACGATTGTATGGTCAAATGTGAGAAACAACTGTCTCATGTTGCGATTTCATGCAATAGTATCTGGATGAAGACTTAGATTTGCAAACTGTAACGGCATATCTCAAAGATGCAATGTCAGACACAATGCACTCAATGGAGGGTTAGGGGTGAGCATTAAAAGCATTGCATTAAGCTCAGAGTCTGCATCCAGATCCTGCCTATTACATGTGGCAACAAGCTTCACTTGCTCAGAATAAGCTCATAGTCATATCAGTCCTAATTATGACATTAAAGGCCACTTTTATATAAAATTATTGCTGAATACTAAGCCAAAAAAAGAGAGATATTTTAACAGTGAGTAAGAAAGTTTACAGAATAGTCCATAAGTGCTGAAATGATGCTACCTTACTAAAAAACGAACAAAATAGCAAGTAATACTGTACATGGAAGCACTGGTTACGAATTATTAGTAGTGATCGCTACTGTTTTTCCCCTCCTCTTAGGGTTATATATCCGAATACACCTTTAAGAGGGCTATATGTAATCTATTCATCTTTTTTTAGTTCTTGATTTGTAGACAGCTTTCATTAAACTAAAAAAACACTACTACTATAAGGCTACTATATTTCTAGCCTGATCTCAAGAGAAAACTTAACTATTTTAGAATTTGTCAGTGTAGTGGCTGATTCATTCCTACGATTGTAGAGTTCAGTCTAACGAAAAGGTTCGATTTTAAAAAGGAGGCGTGGCACTTAACCCCGCCTCTGAACCCAACCATCATTAGGGGATGAGCAAACAGTACAAAATTGCTTTTTGATTAGAAACTACGGCTGTATAAAATATTGAAATTATCGAAATATCGCAGTTGTGCAATATATCAACGCAATCTCACGGCAATTCAATCTCAATGGCAGACGTTCAAAGACGCTTTTGCATTCAATCACTCATTTATCACAAAAAAAACTGTGATATATAAATATTCAACTTGATCTCACTAATAAAAGTATTTTGTGTTTGTCAGTTTAGCTAATTCGTATGATTTAATTTGTACAATTTAGTAGGTTTTTCTCATCACCCAATGACAGTTAGGGTTAGGGGTGGGGTTGGGTGCCACACCTCCTTTTTAAAATCGAACATTTTCGTAAGACTGAACTTGCACTAATTCGTACAAATTAGCCACTAAACTGACAAACGTAAAATACTTTTCTTCGTGAGATCAGGTTGAATATTTATATATCACAGTTTTTTTGTGATAAATGAGTGATTGAATGCAAAAGCGTCTTTGAATGTCTGCCATTAGCACACACTTTGAAGTACATCTCAGCACTTCAGTTAATTTAGTGGATATGTCAATATACACATCTCTGAAACCAAGCAGAGTGCACATGCGGCCATGCTTGTCCAAAAACCTGTACCGATTTTAGTATTAATACTGAAATGTGACCAAGCAGGCAGGCCACGTTAAAGAGACAGTTCACCCAAAAATTTAACTTGTCATAATTTACTTGCTCCAAACCTGTTTGTCTCTTTCTTCTATTGAAAACAAAAGAAGATATTTTGAAGACAGCTGAAAAACTGTAACCATTGACTTCCATAGTATTTGTTTTTGCTACTATGGATATCAACGGTTACAGGTTTTCAGCTTTCTTCAAAATAACCCCAACAGTAGAAAGAAAAGGTTTATAACCACTTGAGGGTGAGTAAATAGTAAGCACATTTTCATTTTGGAGCACATTTTCATTTTGGGGCGAACTATCATTTTAAGAAAATATTAACTTGACTGTGATAGTTATCGATTTTTTTTTGTTTGATACAACCAAACAAAACTCAATGAAGTTGATATAATTTTACAATTTGGAGCAATATTGATACGATACTGTACAGTATGTATTTTATTTACATTGTTAAGATACCTTTTTTGTTTTATGCTAGAGTAAAATATGGCTGTTTACATTCAGAAATTGTAGTGACGCTTGGCTATATCATTTGAAACTGATATGTATTGATATAGATATATATATATATATATATATATATATATATATATATATATATATATATATATATATTATTATTAAGCATACTATATCGCAAGTTTCTTTAATATCGCACAGCCCTAATAGAACTCAGTATAGTATAAATGCTGACAATGGCATCGAGTATAACGTTCACTAGATGCCTAAGTATAAAGTTCTGCTGTTCTGTAGTTCCTTTAAACAGCCACCAGTGTCACTAATAACAAAGATGAATTAATTTTACATAAAGCCCCATTAAAGCCAACCCGATAATGATAAGATCTCATCTGCTGAGCTTATCTGAGTAAGCAACCACATAGCAATGTGTTAAAAAAAAAAGCTTTACCAACCACATAAAATTGTCGAGATTAGCAAGAATCGCTTATTTCCTTAAAGAGATCGTTCACTCAAAAATGAAATTTCTATCATCATTTACTCACCCTGTACTTGTTCCAAAACCGTGTGAATGCCTTTCTTCTGTTAAACGCTGGAAAAAATGTAACCATTGACTTTCTTACCTAGATATGTACACTAGATATCTATACAGACCCTGAGCATGCGTCAATACCGCCGCCATATTTGTACAGTGCTCCCAGGACAAAAGTCAATCAACTGCACTAGTCAAGACGAAAGCCAGTCTGAAGATGCTAAACTGTTGTGCTGTGTATGGGTGTAGTAACGAGAAAACAAAGCATAAAGGCAGAACATTTTATAGGTAAAATTTAGTTTTTTTTTTTTTTTTTAGGTTTTTTTATATATGTTTGTGCTAAACAAGTAATGCTATTGATGCTAATAATCACTTAATGCATTGACCATAAGGCAAAGTAGCACCAAATTCGCACTAAATACTAAGTAACTCAAGGGTGCGTGATAACATAACAGTTCCTGTGCCTTAATGTGCATACTTGCCACCCTAAATTATTGAATATTAGATAGATCAGATAGGTGGGTGTTCACATTGAGACGCAATATATCAATTAGGTTTGGGCGTTGTCGACCAATTTGGCATTGTACAATGTCTAATGTGAACCATTGCAATGGACGATGGCATCATCCTCATAGGCAGCGGTGAATGAATTATTTATGAATAATTCATAACAAATTAATTAAGTTACACACAGATTACCACCTGTCAATCACTTTTTTTACGGGACTCTGGCATGAATAGGCAGTGATCTGTGCCGTTATAATGGCATCCACAAAATTGGTTGGTAAAAAAGGTGCACAACCAACAGGAACCAATCAACAGTATCTGAGGTTTTCGCTAAAACTACTAAGTACAAGCGTGAAAGTGAAAGATTGAAGCAGTGTACTGACGCTGTGACATGCTACCTGATAGATTCAAAAGACCAAAGAGTCGTTAGATAGAGGCAAGATTAATTAAATATCAAGTTTAACAACTGTAGTAAGACGTGATCCAGCGGTACATTCTTGATAAACTGTTCGACGTGCACTGCTCACTGCTACCCTGTACTAAAATGGCGGCTCTATTGACACATTCCTTCTAATAGACAACAATAGCATAGGCGACATCTAACGTAAATATCTGTGGACTTTCATAATATTTGTAGGATGGAAATCAGTGGTCACGTTTTTACTTTTCTTAAAAACCTTATTTTTTTTTTTATCCAACAGAAGAAAGACACTCATTAGGCTTTAAAACCACTAGAGGTAGAGTAAATAGGGAGTCCATTTTTACTTTTGGGTGAACTATCTCTTTAAGCAAGTCTACATATATATAAAAAGATGCATTGTTAATCACGTTCATTGTCCTGAAATAAACAATCAAACAAACAAACTGCATATTGTTCTGTAAGCATTAAAAATAAATGTAATGAAAAGCGAATGCAACAGCAACACTCTGTACCCATTTGTAACAATATTTCGACTTGATGTCTTTGGCAAAATCTTCACAGCACTAAACGCGCTCTTAAATAAGCTATTTGAGCAAACATCCAGCAGGGAGCAGTAACGTAATTCCCCATTCCCTCGCCAGCACTTCCAGTAACTCCCGCTCACCTAAAGCCTCCTTCTCCAACTGTCTCTCTGTCTTCTCTTTCCATCCAAACCTTCTCCTTTCTATCTATCTCTCTCTCTCTCTCTCTCTCTCTCTCTCTCTCTCTCTCTCCTGTGTTCTGATTGGTTCCAGATCTTCTCCTCTCGCTGACTCGACATTCCTCAGCAGGCCACAGCACCGATTCACCTCCAGGCCTCGCCAAGAGCCAAAGGGGGGTGGGGGTGGGGGAACAGGCAAAAGCTGAAAACTGACAGGAATGAGAGAGAAAGAAGAGATACAAGAAGCGAGTTTAAGTTTCAGTCAATGTACTATTTGGATTCAGCTTTGGGATGAGCTCATCATCACAGCGCTGAGATCAAGCAAACGGTTTACGGTGAGGTCAGACGTCCTGTTGGGCAGCGTGTGATTAAAGAGAGAGAGAGAGAGAGAGAGAGAGATACTGGCTCGTTCTCATGCACTTTCATCTATTTTAGTCCACAGCTCTGTTTTCTTCCACATCACTGAACTTCAAACACACGTAATTTGATCTGTAATTATTATGATTATCATTTTCCGATGAATTCATGATGGACCTGAAATTCTGACCCACAAAACGTCACATTCAGCTGCACGAATAAAAAAAAAAAGCATAAAAAAATACACAACAAAGAACTTTAAAAAGTCACAGTCTAAAGAAATACTGCCTTGGTGGTACCTTGTGATTGTGCGCCCTCATAGATTGGAGGTTCAAGTCAATTCCCTGCTGAAAAAACAGCTTAAAGTAGCCTAAGATGATTGGCTGGTTTTAGCTGGTCGACCAGCCTGGTTTTTGAGGGGTTTGGGCCATTTTCAAGCAAGTTTTCAGCCATTTTTAGTCTGGTCTTAGCTGGTCAGAACCAAAACCAGCTTGACCAGCCTGATTTAAGCTGGAAATAGCTGGTTTTAGCTAGGCTCACAGTCTGGCTAGGATGGTCAAGCTGGTTTTAGCCGGTCATCTCCCAGCCTGACCAGCTGGGACCAGGCTGGAATTGGCTGGAAACCAGAATGGAATGGCCAAAACCCCTCTAAAACCAGGCTGGTTGACCAGCCAAGCAGCCTAGGCTGGTTTAAGCTGTTTTTTTTTGTTTTGTTTTTTCTCAGCAGAGTTGGTTCGTCTGAATTCTGTACCTTCTAAGTAGGTGCTACAATTAACTTAATGACTGGAAAAAAAATGTAGTTTCATATAGTATGCTTCAGGAGGTACTAAATCTGCCATTTTGTCATTACCAAATGACCTACCACCGCCAATTGTAAATTCAATTAGCAAATTCTCTCCAGTAGCCTCATGAGATTCTGAAGTGTTTAAAGGTGCAGTAGGTGATTGTTTTCAGAAACAATTTTTGTTGTGCTGGTTGAAAGTCTCTTCACATTTCAATAGTAATGATTAAAGTAAATTATCTATATGTATTTATATATTCTGGGTAAGGACTAAAACTCAAAAAATGTTCGTCTAATTAAATAATGTCGGGCCATGAATTCCCATAATTCCAATAAGCAGCCCAAACTGTGTCAACAAAGTAGATTTGTACATCTGTGCATCCTTTTTCACGCAGATTTGCCATTGGCGTGTGCATGCGCACCGCACGTTCATTTGCACACGAAACACAGCAGTAAAATCAAATTCTGAATCAAAACTTTTTCAAATCCTGAATCTAGGTTGGAGTCACTTTTGCAAGTTGGAGGAAAGACGACACTAGGGCTGAAGTATTTCTTTTAGACAGGTAATGTTCTGTTTTAAAACTTTATTCACGCAAAGATGATGTAGATTGTGTTGTATTATGAATGGTTATATACACAGAAGTGTTGTTCAGCCACTGAAATCTTCCTGTGAACGATTGATGTGACTATTTTCAGTTTCATAAAAGACCTTTTACAGCATCGATAATTTAGATTTTTATTTAGTTTAACAACAACAGAAGTAAATAGCGCTATTTTGCCTAGCCTGCTTTACTGAGCTGAAGTTAGTTTTAAATTCACATTGGTTCGATTTTGCACAATGACGACCTTTGAAGCGCTCCCTTCATTGTTTACCATGCTACTCAGAATATTCGCTCTGAAATAGCATGTAGGTATGGCTTAGTAATGGGTGTAATTCCTGCACACCGCCAGCCGACCACTAAGCGTACAGTAGTTGCTTTAGGACAAAGTGTGAGAGAGTGAGACCAGCTAACCTGGCATGCATGAAATATTGCATTATGACAAGTTTTGCATGCTAAACTACATAGGCGAAAATGTGCTAGTTATAATAGTTTATTGTTCGGAATAGTAAATAATAAAGAACTTTAAAGTTTCTTAACTGGCGAATGACATGATCTAGTGTGTTGTCTGCTGTCATATTTAAGGTGCACGTATTCGTGGTTTCAGGAGGTGTGGTTTGGACAGCAAGCATGGTACTGTGTTTCAAAGATATTATGCTAACCGGTAAGCATTTTGACCGATCACCTACTGCACCTTTAAGGAATATATATATGGGTCATCATTTGGGTCTTCTGTTTTTTAAATAACATGAATTGGGATGCAGTACTCGGCTCACATACAGTTTTTTTAGCATACTATATAACAGGGAAGAATGCAGGGTTTTTTGTTGTAAATTTTGTTCCCTTTGGCACTAAACAGGATTATTACGACATGAAAATATACACATAGGAACAGTATTCCCATAGCCAGATAATGACAAGCAAAAAAAAAAAAAAAAAGGAAATCCACACCAGCCAATCCAAGCAGCTCCTCTGAGATTTGATTGGTTGACAGGTCTAGATTGATGCACTTTAATAAAAAAAGGCTCTGTTGAATTTGGTTGATAATCTGCTGCGTTCTACACAGCTCTCGATGTCTCTCACAAAAACGAAATCCCTTTTTTCCCTCTTAAACGTAAATTTCCTCAAGTTGTTTGCTGCCGCAGCAGATTTGTTTTCCTAGGTGTTTCAAGCACATCCATCATTATTCACCCTGTTCGTTTAACTCCATGTCTGAAACGAGAATGTTTTTTTCGGCTTCTTCAGAGGGGGTGGAGTTAGTGCGGCTGTACCGAGCACTCTCAAAGGCACCTGTGGAGCCGAAGCTCCGCCTACGATACAGGTACACCCCGCCCACTACCAGAGCCATCAGAACAAGCACCGCCACCAGGACCTGAATCAACACGTGCAGATGGTCTACTTCAGCTGCAAGACAGAGAGGAAAAGAAAAGAAATAGTCAAATTAAAAATGACAAGCAACTTATTATTCTTGAAAAATATTTTGTCAACATGTTTTAGGTGAATTAAGATAGATTTAAATATGATTATGACTTACAGCTATTCACAGGCTCTGCTGTGGGTCCTATTGAAAATGGAGAAAAAGGAAAAATTGGGTTGAAAAATATGAATTATGTTGGCATTTTTGGAATTTTAAAGGTTATTACCTAATTGTCTCTAAGGTCAATGTATAACATTATTCTAATTTTGTTTTGCATTTCTTGTAATAATACTGTCACTTATTTAAAAATATATCATATTGACCTTATTTTTTAACGTGAAAGTTCGCTCTTTTTTTATGATTGTTTTAGAACTTCCGATTTAGTTGCCTATGTGAGAAATTACTTGGAATAATAAACAGAATGCGGTCAAACTTGCTCTACAAACAAGTGTGTTCATGACTATACAGACAAAATAGAATAAAATAATAAGAAAATATCAGTTTGCAATATCAAGCAGGTGAATGAGACCAGAAGTCTCAACACAAAAAGATTCAAATGGCTGTGCCTGCTCGCACACAGCGAATAAAGTGAATACAGTACTTAAATATCATTTTGACATTATATATATTTTGACATTATTTAGTACATTATATTGTATACTGTGCATTTAACTATGTTTATAATTAGAAATTACACTATAAACAACGTTAAGTTATAATGTGAACATTTTGCAAAGATGCTTTGGAACAATTAGTATTGTAAAAAAGCACTTTACAATAAACAAACAAAAAAAACTTGAATTAAAAAATACTATTATGAAATGCAAATAAAAATATACAATAAAGCAATTATTAGTGCTGGGCAAAGATTAATTGCATTCAAAATAAAAGTTTGTTATGACATAACATACGGTGCTCAGCATATATAAGTACACCCCTCACAAATGTATCTTTTAAATTCATATTTGTAATAGGAGGCTAAACAATATTATATTTGTGCTAAATATTAGACATTAAAATTATATTCTAATGTCTAATATTCATCAGATTATTCAGTACGGAAGCCAAATCTGGAGCTTTTCTAACAAAATAACCTACGATAACCTCCAAAAACTAGCACACCCAAATTTATATGTAATAGAAAAATATTAAATACAAATTTAAAGATGAATTTTTTTGCAATATTTTACTTGAGTTTAATAGTATTATTTTTCAATTACTAAATATGTTTGGTGATTAAAATATTATTTCAAAAAGACTATCTGTTAAATAAATTGGTTTTGTTCAAATGCACCAAAAAACGTTGCATATATTCACTGACAAATTGATAAACGTATTCATTTTTAAAATGGGGTGTACTCAATTATGCATAACACTGTATGTGTCTGTATTATATATTTATATAAAAAATATCTAGTCAAATATTATTTACTGTCATCAGGGCAAAGATAAAATAAATCAGTTATTATGGATGAGTTATTAAAACTATCATATTTGGAAGAGTGTTGAAAAAAATCTTTTCTTGGTAAACAAATATAAACAGAGGAGCTATATATACATATTTATTATGTGATATATTATATATTTATTTATTCTAAGTTATACACATACATAAAAAGCAAACCTATACAACACTCTATAGACATTTTGTATTTATATTTCAATTGTACCATATACACATCTGTTTCATATCTAAATAAAAAAAAAAACACTGCTCAAATATATGCTTGCATCTGTGTATTTATATATACATAATAAATATACACAGAACACACTTAAATTATATCAAAACAAAACTTTTTTTTTGTTTTGGATGTGACTAATCATGATTATTTTTTGCCCAACACTAGTAATATTTAATATATATTTAATGTAATTTATCCTTTAGATGACAAAGCTACATTTTACATTGTTTTCAAGACTCTCTAAATAAAAGTTTAAGAATAGCTTTCTTACCATTTATTTTATAAATGCATCAATATCATACATTTTTATGAATTAGTTTTATGATTTCTACACACTACAATCAAAACTTTCAAAAGGTCAATTAAAGTTAATTTAATAATCAGTGGGGTTTATGCACAGCTAGTGTTTTTCAGCCACCGATAAACGTCCGATTTAAGGTTTGTGTAAATGTTTTTAAACTCATATGGGTCCATTTACAGCATCGATTTTGTAATGCTATTAAAGTTTAATCAGTTTAATGGACCTAATCATTCATTTAGTTGTTCAAGCATAAAATGAGATGAAAGACCGTTTAAACGCAAGTGCTGTCAGGGGCACAGAAACTCCATTGAAAATACTAGGGTAAAATAATTTTCCATATTTTAAAGACATGTCATGGAGCAATGGAATTGAATGCTTTGCTTCTTGTCTGGTTTGAGACCCACTCAATCAGGCAGTGAAGATCCTTGGTTTATAAAGAAACTGGATCTTAAACGTGGTGATTTTGTAATGGCATGACAATGGACTGAAAGTGCTTGAGCTGGCTGACTAAAAATTAAAAGACCTTGTGCATACACCCCATTGACCAAATTAAATGGTGTAACTTTTACCCAATTTATATTTTCAGATAAACCAAGTTTCCATATAGCTACTTATCTATGTGACATCAATACCTCGTGGCCGTTTGCAGATGACTCCATGAGTGCGGTTTTTGCAGGATTCAGGCCTCCAGAGGCCCGTGTTGCTCTTCACCCAGAAGCAGCTGTTAGCAGATAGCATGCTCAGATTAGCATCCTGCTGCTCCCAGTTACTGTAATCCACAATTTCACCGCTGGACCACTCCAGACTGCCTTCTGTACAATCAAACACACACACAGAGCTCTATAGATAAGGCTGCGGATTAATGAAGGAAACATGTGTTCTTCATTAAACCACTTGCCTTTAGAGTTAAAGATCATTCCTAGCCAAGCGCCGTGAGCCTGTTGTTGAAAACTCTGCATGTGCTCCCATACAAACCCATTCTCGTTTTCATCCAATATTGACAACAGCTTAGCACCAACTGTGTAAGAAAAAACATGAATATTGAAGTAATTATACACTGTAAAACCCAACAGTTTACTTTGTCAAAGGAAATGAGTGTAGTTAACTCAAAATTGACTGAATGTTAATTCTACTCATTTGAAAAGAGCTTTGAACTCAGTGTTGAAGGTTGTGAGTTAATTAAATACCTCATTACTTTAATTTTAATGCAGTAAGTTCACAGTACTCATATAGATTAGTTTTTTTTTTTTTAACTCAAATGGTTTTTAGCAATCGGTTTCCTTAAACGGGTTTAGTTGCCATAACTTATTGGGTTTTATAGTACTCAGTTGGTTGGGTGCTCAAACTGTGCTCAAAATGCTTCATTTACTGAAATGGATTAAGTTTATAGTACTCATTAGTATTAGTTTTTGAACTTAAATGGTTTGTTGCAATCGGTTTACTCAAACGGTTTAAGTTACCTTAACTTTTTGGGTTTTACAGTGTATGTAATATGGGAACCTGGACCACAAAACTTTTTATAGCCATTACAGAATTATCAGAATTTTGCTTTTGTGCCAAAAATTGTCCGTATGTTAAGTAAATGTTCTTTGAAGATATTTTGTACACGTCCTATTCTAAATATATAAAAATGCAATATTTGCTTATTAATGTGCACTGCTAAGCACTTAATCTAGATTATTTTAAAGGTGATTTACTCAGAATTTGGAAAAAATATATTATTATTATTATTATTATTATTATTATAAAGATATTAAAATATTTGTGTGTTTCAGCCAGATATTTTTCCATTTTAACAAAGTATACTACACTGGAATGCTTAAAGGCTGATTTATACTCGACGTGAAATTGCAATTGCAGTGGAAAAGAAAGTTTTTGTTAAAAAGTTTAGAAAAACTTGAGGGATAAGTTTGTTAATACCAAAAGAAGGCCATGGCAAAAAAAAGGCCATGGCAAAAATGGAGACCCATGTTGCTTTAATACACAATCAAAGAGTATGTTTTTCCATCATTCATAAGTTGTACACTGATGTATATATTACAATTTGGAATTTACAACATTTGAATAGTGACAAAACTTAAATGAAGTCACAAATTATTTCTTAGATAACTGGAAAGGAATAGTTGAACCTATCGTTTGTTTACAATATACTGATGCCCTGTTTTAAGGCTTTATTGGTGATAATGGTCAAGAATGTTGGACCATTATTGCCTTTGTAGCATAAAAGAATGACAGAAACTAGCCAGACAACAATGTGTGAATTGGGGAGTGGGCTAAATCTAAAAAAAAAAATCTGTTTTTTTCCAGCTTAATCATTCACACTACACGCAAATCGCAGCAGCAAAGCAACAAGCGAGCATTAATTTGAATAGAAAGTGAGTGACCTCCGGCGAACTCTGTCAATGCAGGTGACAGCGACTATTGGTGACCAGGTGGGCATGTCGAGCGATGCGACAAAGTCGAGATTTCTTCAACTTCATGCAAATGAAGAGCGACTTTCTTGAGCGACAGCCAATAGGAACACCAGTAGAGCTCACGTGATCCTCTCTTAGCTCGCTTAGAGGTTGGTTGTATTCGTGATGTATATTTCTACACATCCCTGCGTTTAAAGTTGGGTGCCACCCAGAGCGGCAAGCAGCTTCAAAGTCACTGTTAGTCTGAATGAGGCACAAATCAGCCTTTAGTTATGCAGCTTTCATTTGATGTACAAATTCCAATAAAAAAAAGACACTTATGACTTTTTTCGTGGTCTGAGGTCACATATGTTCCTGTAATCTTTCCTGTAATTACTGTGCATTGTTATTGTTAATACTATTATTGTTTTATTACTTTTATTGTTATTTTATTGCATTTTAGAATGTGTGTTTGGGTTTTGCTTAGCACTTTGGTCGATGCCGAACTGAAGTTAACTCACTGTGTTTTTAAGTTCCAGATGGTGGACGTTACCTTTGCTACACATGCGAATGGCCTCCTGCTTGAACTGTAGTTCGTGTAGGATGAAGGAGTAGCAGTGATTTCTGAAAGGAATCCAGGACCAGTTACCAACAGGCTGTGGGCAAACACCAGGATACATCCATCGATGCTCTTTTGTCTTCTCTGATGCAGACACAGAGCAAATCCAAAGGCTATTAGAAAACTACAGGCTATACCAAGTGCAGAAATTAGACCAACAAGAGTAAAAACTGTCAAAGGCTATGCCTCGAATGAAATACTAGCACACAGTATATTATACATCAGTAAAGCTAGCTTAAACTATAACTGAAAAAATCTGAAATTTAAATAAAAGCTAAAATAGCAACTAAATAAAATAAGTTTAACTGGTAAAATTTCTAAAATTTATATAAAAATTATAGGTGGGCATAGATATTTTTTAATCTAGATTAATCTTGAAATTAATCAATTATCTTATTCTGAAAAGAGTATAAATTAGAGGATAGAGTTTACTAATTAGATTATAAATGACAATATATTTATTTGAGATTTGTCAGAACCTTTATATCATAAAACTATTAGCATTTAATTTAAATCAATTTAAAAACCAGTAAATGCACAGACACTTTAAACTTCAGATTTAAACATACTTGATTATGAGGTTTAAAAATATATATTATCAAGAAAATTAATTAACAAAATTGACTAAATAATAATCACATTTAACTCAACATTACACTTTAGTTCAGCAATTTCACACATTCAGAACCAATTACATTACTTCCATTCTTATACATTTGGAAATCCTGTGCACAAGCAAAATTAGCATACTGTCCACAACACATTTGCTGCAAGCTACAAAAAAAAACTAGTGTGGAAGCATGTACCATGTTCTTACCAGTGTTCATTTCACAAATGGCTGCATTTAATTTTGTATTGCAAGCAGCCACAGTCCACTGGCCCTCAGTGGTCATGTGACCACAACCGTACATCTGATTGGGCTCTCCGTCCCGCCAGTCACTGAATGTGATCTCCTCTTCACCCAACCACGAGTAGCTCCGCCCCTGGAAAACAAGAAGTCAATTCAAGTTTATTTGTACATTATTTGTCTTATTATTTGAGTGTTTTCACATTGGGTCAATGAGGGGTATTCCAGAAAACAGCAGGCTGTGACATAACCACATTAGTTTGAGGATATGTAAACGGATAACCTCATCGTTCAGGTAATTTTCAGTGTATGTAACAAGCTATAGCAACTTATGCTCTGAACTTAACCTGCTCTAAAGTTTAGAGAATCACTGAACTGTAGTATATAAATGCATTTCCTAATATATCTTGCCAAGTTATGGATAAAGTACATCCAGGAGGTTGTTACTGCCTTTGATTAAAGGCAGTGTTACAATGCTGTGTTTGTCTTGTCTCATCTGTTTGTTTTTTTTTCTGTTTTGCTTAGAACACATGTAATTGGCCACTTCCAGCTTACTTGTTCCTGATTGGCCTACAGTGTTTTAAAAAGCCATGACACTACTTTCTATGCAGTCATCTTGTTTTTGATCACTTGCTTTGTGTTTGTTGAAAAGTTTGTATGTGGTATAGTGCAGAGTCTTTGGATTTGTTAAGACTGGGAATTTTGAGATTTGTGAGTACTCAGATTCTATTGAGATTTGAGTGTAGTTTTTGTTTTAGTGTTTGTTTTGTTTTTGATACTTTGTTCCACTGGTTTGTTTGACCTTTGTTGCCTGCTGACATTGATTTAGGATTTTTCTTCAAATATGGTTGCCTGTTTTTGTAAATAGTTTGTAAATAATGTATATATATTGGTATAGTAAGGAGTTTGACGCCATTTTCTTTGTAAAACCTTTTGTCCTCTGTTTTTGTGTTAGGTAATTAGGGTAGTGAAGTTGTACTTTCTTTTCTTTTATCTTTGATCAGGTAAGTTAGAGATTTAACAAAGGAATTTGTGTTTGTTATTTTGGCCTTGTCAGCTACCGAATTCAAATCCCAATAAATCTTTGAATTCATTTTTGTTGTCTTGTCTTTCATGTTGTGCACCATCCCTAGACGGTGCGTAACAGGCAGATAGGGCTTATAACCAGCCTGATGCAAAGCCTCCAAACAGTCAAAAATGCAAAGCTGACAGAAATGAAGCTGATTGGATAAGGCATATACTTACCAATTATGTATTTACAAGATGGCGTCAAACAGTAAAAAACTGTTTAAAAATGCAGCGTGCTGGACAAGTAACCAAGTAATGATAACCTTGGATAAAAATATCACTGTTTCATGGTATTGTGATTACAGCTCTAAAATATATTCTTTTTAAATGTCTGGGTAAAAAACTCAAACTTTTTTTCCCTTGAACACAACATATTTTATTTAAAGAAACTTTTTAAATATTTTGGAGCAGTAAATGTGTCAGGCTAAATTATTCAAATCAAACATTGACTTCTGATGCATCTTCGATATCTTTTCAGCTGACCTAAAAAACTTAAAACAAAACATAAAACCACGGTTGTTACATCCTGTGTTCCTTGTGTGTTTGTTTTTGTCAGGTGACCTTTCCCCATGTGCTCCTTTGTTCCAGTTCTTGCCATTTGTAAATGTTCATCACCCTCACCTGTGTTCATCCCTATATGTAATCAGTTGTATCATCCCCTTTGTATTTATACTCCTTGTGTGTCATTCAGTCCTCATCCGGTATTCTTTCAGTTGATGTCTGTTTTCATCCCATGTCCTTCCTGTGTTCACCCATGTAAGTGTTTATCAATAAATCTACGTGTTTTAATAAACCTGCGATCCTGTGCTTTCCTGTAGTGAACCCAGGCGTTACAGCAGTATACTTTGAAAACGATTATCATCCCATGCCTAGATGTGAGTATACAGTATAGATTTGAATGTTTTCACTGACAATCAATTTGATTTGAAGTGTCTGAGTAAGGCTGTGTTATTTAGCAGTTGTTTTCTTGGAATAACATGCCTTAAAATTTTACGACTGACCAATCAGAGTCTAGTATTCCAGACAGCCTTGTTATAATTCCCAGTAAAACAATATTATAAAACTATGATTATTTGTAATAGTATTTACTTATTATTGTGGGCGAGGCAGTGGCGCAGTAGGTAGTGCTGTGGCCTCACAGCAAGAAGGTCGCTGGTTTAACCTCGGCTCAGTTGGCGTTTCTGTGTGGAGTTTGCATGTTCTCCCTGCCTTCGCGTGGGTTTCCTCCGGGTGCTCCGGTTTCCCCCACAGTTCAAAGACATGCGGTACAGGTAAATTGGGTAGGCTAAATTGACCATAGTGTATGAGTGTGGGTGTGAATGTGTGTGGATCTTTCCAAGAGATGGGTTGTGGCTGGAAGGGCATCCGCTGGGTAAAAACTTGCTGGATAAGTTGGCGGTTCATTCCGCTGTGGCGACCCCGGATTAATAAAGGGACTAAGCCGACAAGAAAATGAATTTACTTATTGTCATTTTATCTCACAGGGTATATATTTTTTAGTACATTCATTACGTAATAAAAGTGCAATTTAAAGGCTAATCTAGATTATTTATGTCAACAAAGCAAGTTAGGTTAATTAGGCAAGACATTGGACAACCATGTTTTTTTCTGTAGCAAATAAATAAATAAAAAATAATAATCACAATAATTTCTTCAGGGAGTTAATAATACTTATCCGAGCCGTTTTAACGTTTAGGTACAAATATTACATTTTTCCAGCCAAACTAAAAAGAAATAATTGTAATTATGTTCATGTTTATCGGCATACTTCGGATTATTAATAGCAACCTGTACATATATTCATCTATTGTAAATCTATGTTCATAGGTAATACAACCTGTATATAATGTTCATACTACATCCATCTGTAAATATCACCATAGTTTTTCTACAATTGCACTTTATAACTTATACCAATATCCTGCACTTGCTGCAATTTCACGCCTGGCATTTTATTGCCTTGTACTTGTAGATGTGTAAGACAGTAAAGCTGAATCTAATCTAATCTAATCTAATAGCATAAATGTGAAAAATATCCTTGTTAAATTAGGCAGATATTAGAAAAAAAATAAAAATTGAACTGGAGGGCTAAAAAAATTTGTCATGCACACAATGTCACTCACCCCTTCATTGTGTAGAGCAATCCAGGCAGGTTTCCGGAGAGTGCTGAGGAGAAGGGTGAGGTAAGCATTCTGCCGAGGTTCCCGTACAGCAGCCAGTGTCCCGTTGACTGATTCACACACTTGCAGAGCTGAATGCCAATCCAGACGCTTCTGCAGGATCCGGTACTGAACACCATCAAACTCTAAAGGACCATCTAATGATGGGGGAAGACGATCCACGCCAGGTGACAGGGCAGGGTCTGGAAACACATATATGGAGGATATTTAACAAAGTGGCTGAAGATATGTACTCACCAGCCACCTTGCTTAAACCTTCAGAATTGCCTTAATTGTTAGTAGTATAGATGTTAAAGGGTGCTGCAAATCTTAATTTAGGTCCATATAGTAAAAACAGCATTATGTAGTTGCTGGAAATTTGCTCGGCTGACAAGAAAATATCCAGCACACATTGAGACCAGCAGCAGCTTTACCATTGACACAGGATACATTTGTGCTTCATGTTGGTTATGCCAAATTCTGACACAATGACTGTAAAGAATATGGACAACGCAACAGTGCCTTTTCCCATTGAACGCTTTAAAGCAAAACGTTTGACGGGCACAAACTGTTGCAAAACACTGCTAAAATTAGAGCCTGGGTTTGCACAGAAAAAGGGACTACCAGATGGAGCCAGAGGCGGAGCCGAGGAATCAAACTTCCAACCAAACGCTTGTACGTCAAATCAACCACGCCCCCCTGAACTTCTCATTTGACTTCCCATATCTGCACTATAAAAAAGGCTTGCTAATATGCTTTACATTTAAAAACATGCAATCATATACAATTTATAAAAAAAAAAAATGTGTGATGTAAGCCGTTTTCAATAATTTTAGAGAAACAATATATGTTGGACCGCAGAAATAAATGATCTTTCATACACTACAGCCTAAGTTAGCTTAGCTACGAGCACAAAAAAATATTTGTCTTATAACGGGTTGTTGGTATTTATTATCTTCACAGGGGTAGAAATAACACTTGTAAAATATGACCAATAACATCTGAACAACACATTCATTTCGAAAATTATTTAACATTTTTAATTAGCAATTAACAGGACTCAAAATATACACATTATAGATAACGATTTACCATGAGGGAAAAATAGTGCATTTAAAAGACAAACGATCTCTAAATATTAACAGGATATTTCATCCCATCCCTGCACTATATAAAGTAATCCTTGTCAATTTGTACAATATACTTAGCAGTATTAATACATCAACTGATGTCTATATGATATAGGCCTATCAGCTGCTGAATATCGCTTGTATATTGTTTATCATTTTGTGCCTCTGTTTTCACTTGGTTTATTCAATACCTTAATATCTGGCATATAGTAATTTATCTTCATTTTAATGTTTATTAGATGTTTTCAAATAAAAAGCCAACATCAAATGGTGTATACAAAGAATATATAACATTTACAGCTCTATTTGTTATTGAAGATTCGGTTTCTAGAACATTCATATTTTATAAGAGCAAATTCAGTAGATTAACTCGACAACATGCCGAAACTCAAAATCTTAAAGACATCCTTTAAATCAAATTCAAATAATGTTACAGGAGATTAATCTGGACATAGGCTAACATTAGTTTTGTCTTCCGAATTATTCTTTTAGACAAATAAAGAGAATTACTGCTAGACAGGGTAGATTGGGTTTTATCTGGCTTTAATATTAGTTTGCTGATACACGCCATGACAGGGAAAATACAGATGATCGCTACCTATCAGCAAACTAATATTAACGCCAGATAAAATCCTCACCTTACCGAATAAACAGTGATCCATCAGATCCTGTATGTCAGAAAGTAGAAATCGAATAATAGCACTTCAATCTCTTTCCAAAGCTCCAACGGTCTGCTTTGAGAAATTGTCAGTCACAACTGTCAATCACTATGACATGCCCCGTTTTTATAGCATTAAATTACTGACTAAACTGACACTGACTATTACTGACACTGACTATTACTGACTATTACTGACACTGTTTACAAAACTGAAGATTTGCACCTATATCAGCATGATAACTAGTGCCTTAATTGACCAAGACCATCTTTCGGGACATTTTATTGCAAGTGTAGTTATTTATTTAGTTTTTTGTACTCAAGTCTCGTTCATTAACACAGAGGAGGCAGGCTTTATGACTTTTACTGCAGGCAGCGATCTAACGGTCGGGAGCATCACTCAAAAGCAGGTGTGTGGCACACTTGTTCTGACATTACCATCTGAATGGCACAGCACAAATCAAGACTCATCAAATCAGTGTACTTTTTTCTTTATAGGATGAAAATCTGGATATACCTAGGCATAGCTGAATAATCAGAGTTCATAAAATAACTAAATCTACCAATATACATGCTCCAGGCAGCGTTTGATTGGTCACAATGAGATAAAAATAAGGAGAAAAAAATATTGTTGTTAAGTTAATTGAAGCTTGTATTACACTTACTATGGATGTATGTGGGACTCTTATTTTGAAAAAAAAGGACAAATTTTAAGGAAATGTAAGCAGTTCTATAAAAAAGGCAGCCATGCATGATCTCATCTGTTCTCATCAGCGTGTCAGAATGCAAAATATGATATATACGGATGACAAATTTATTCAGTGCCACCCCTGATTAGACATAAGGTCTGTTTAAATCTACCTTTTAAAAGTTTAACATGTATATTGTGAGATTTGCTTCCAAGGTTTGAAATGGCTTTACAGGCACTGACATGAGCAACTTATACATATGCACAACCCTTCCAAATATGGTCAAAAGCAACCATATCATATTAGGGACAATTCCCAGTGTTAGAAAATGACCTGTAAAACAATTTCTTGATGATGTTTTGCAATTACCTAAGCCATATACCTTCTGTAGATAACAGAAAATAATTCAACAGATTGTATCAATGCATTCTACTGCACATTTAAGTCCAGTTTTGGTATGCCAGTGCTAAATTTAGCCTTCGTTCGGTATACTGTGTGTTCAGAGATGCTTCTCTTCAGACACTGATTGTAACAATTGAGTATTTTGAGTTACTTTTCCATTTGGACGCATTTCTGACATCTACAATTTAAAACCATAACCACAGAGCTGCAATTCACTGTATATTTCGTCTATTTCAAATCCTTTCATGTAAATGAAAGTGATGGTTGTTCACAAAAATCAGAGTAGAACAACTTTTTTTGAAATAGACCTGCTTTTCTGACACTAAAAACAAAGGTCACAGTTATGATCACTTCCCATTTATCTCCTATAATGATGCTCAGTTTTCTTTGTCAAGAAGCCTAAATGGCTCATGCCATGGCTGATTAGATATTTGCCTTAAATGTCCTATGAAGTGCTTTGAAATGTGCATTTTTATTCAATGTTTGATGTAATCTCAACTGAAAACTGAAAAGAGGGCAGGACATAGAGTAGCCCCTCCCCTTAAAAAAATCAGCCAATAGCATTTTGTTTTTATCATAGCTCTGCCAGTGAGAGTGGTTGAGGTCAAGCGCATCAAATGAAAAGGAAATGAGAAGCTTCTTGAAAGGGGCGGGACATGTCAGACAGTAGAGAGTGTTTGATTGGTCAAGAATTACTGAGAAACTGAAGTATGAGACGATGTGAAAAAAACAAACGTTGATCAATTTAAGCAGAAGTGACAAACTGCAAGCTTTGTATGTTTCAGTTTCATATTTTTTAAACACAAAATGTGTCACTGTTTTGGAGCACACTAGCTTATGGATATCCTTAAAGCAAACAGACTGAAACTAACATCTAATAAATGTAATTTTAATTATATGGGACCTTTAACTAGCTGTTAATCTGGTGTACCTAATATTGTAGCCTGTTATTTATTAAGTGTATTTTGTGTGTGCATGTGGATTTGAGATGTTCCTGTACCTTTATCCTTCATGCAGATGAAGCCATGTTTCTCTGCATCACACCTGCGAGACGCCCACATGCCTGTAATCCGCTGAGGACTACCATGCAGAAGCAAAACACAGTTACCCTAGAGAGACACATACAGATGCATATTTGTGACCATGGATGGATAGTTAGATAGAAAATGGACAGCCATTTTGTAGCCTTTACTAGGACAGACAGACAGACAGAGTAGATAGATACCGGGCTTTTCATTTGTTTGTTGTCCACTGGTTCTCCAGGGGCCCAGTTAGTGTAGCTGAGAAAACCAGGTTCAAACCACTTGAACTGAGCCTGTGATTCTGAAGTGAGTCCGACCCACAAATGAAAACTGCTGTTGGGAAGCAGAGTCACGAGGAACGCTGAAGAAAGAGAGAGTAATAGCGAAAAACAGATTAGTCTGTTTCCATTCACATAAATTACTGCAATACATAACAGACAGACACTTGGGCATGCCAATCCCAATATTGATAGCATTTGTATTAAAATTTTCTATTTTCACTTTTCTGTGTGTGTGTGTGTGTGTGTGTGTGTGTGTTTTCATGTAACCTGTTTTCCTTCTGTGTGGTGTGTGGGTTTGATTTACCCTGAACTCTGTGGTTGGGCACCGTCACCAGTGTGGCTCTTTGTGTCAGACACGTCTTAGAAGCAGCGTCCCAAGTGCTGCGACTCGACAGCTCCTCTCCAAACACCTTATAGCACTGTTGTTATGAAGGGGAAAACAGAACTCAAGGATTGTTGTTTTGAGAAAATGCGCAACATGAATGTGGGTCACAAACAAAAATGGGTTTTCAAGCATTAATAATATAATATGTACAGTATATGTAAGTATAATACTGATGATGTATTTTTACCATGATTTACTGAAAACATCCTCACATTTATTTTGAGCATAACGGTAAATCCAATAATATTTTATCAAAGAATCATCTGATGCCACGTTAAAAGGTCAGTTCATCCATACATTTACATTCTCTTACTAATTAAATGAGTGTAAAGGGCACAATATTTGTAATATCACTGCAATGACTGTCCTTTTCAGATAACGTTACCAAGCAATCTTATTTTTATTCCCTTCTCCTGCAAAAACAAACCAAGATTACTGTGAACTAATGAGCATTTTTTTGACAATAAAAGTCACAAGCAACATTTCCTTAATGAATATCCTATTTATCGTAGAAAATCTATATGTTGAGCTATGACCGCTAATTAGCCTTCAGATATGTGCAAGATCTATTGCAGGTTACCCATATATAAATCTGATATATGGCAAAATATAAATAAATGACAAATATGACACACAAGTTCATGTTTGGATTTCAGATATATGAAATAAATGCCATGTATGCGACATATATTTCAAAATATTGCAAAAATTACCATTAATGACCATAGTTTTTCAGCAATTACAAATTTTTTGCATTAACTTCATATAAAATTTTTATGACGAAAAAATTATTTACTTCCCATTCGAAAATTTGAAATATGGCCCCTTTTTTGATATTTATATATAAAGTGGCCGGTAAGTGTGTGTGTGTATATATATATAAACTAGGGTTGAACAGTGCAATTTCAATTTCACAAGAGTGTAATTCAGTGTAAAATCAGACAGGTTGTGGAAGGTTATTTTTTACCTTGTGTAAAAAAGGAGTCCAGCCCTGAGGGCAGCCAGCGGGTGTGAGAGGCAGGGAGGGTGTGGGAGGGATTGTGCCCGTCACATTTACTCTCTTACACACATACGGAAGATCCACATGACACCTCTGGTCTGACCAGTCACCTGAGAGAAAAATAAAGCACTGAAAATGAGCTCTTTTTATGACTTTGAGTAATATGTGAGAAGATAAGTGAAACGAAGGGTCACGAAACACCACAACCTATTTTTGACATATTGATCATCATATATGTGTCCCACGCAGCTAAAAAACACTATTAGGACACATATATTTTACTAAAAAGTGAAAATTAATTGTTTGTTCATTGTTTAGAGCAAATTCGTTTTTCTGGTTTAAAAAGAAATTTTGAAGCTGCGTCACGGCAGTTAGATCCTTGTGTGAATTCCAGTGTAGAGACTGCATGTTTGTACTGGCGGGTACAATGTGACGTCTTTGAGCTTTCATCAATAATTCAAGAGATAGACTTGGTTCGAACCAATCAGCGCACTCTATTGAAAATGAGATGCAACTTCATTAATATGCATGATAGCTTTAAAGACTGTCTTTACCTGATACAGTGTTCAGAGAGCAGAGAGACGCCATGTTGTGTTGCCAACCGTAATTAAAACAAGTGGAAGAAGAATTATTTGGAGACATGGGTTGTCAGTGTTGCGTTTATAAATGTGCCACAACGAAGGTTTTGTTTTCAATTCCCCGCTATAAGAGCGCAGCTGGACTCACGTGTGGATTACAGTGGTCTGCTAACACGCGACAAAAAAATGTTTGTAAGGAACATTTTTTACCTGAGATCTGTTTGCATCTGGAAATGGTGAAATCCCGATTTGCTGCTCATCTCTTTTAAAACAAAGACGCAGTTCCAGTTTGTGTTGATTGTCGTATCTACAGATTTGGTGATCAGTGTTCTTTGTTTATGTTTATTCAGAGGCAAAGTTAGCTAGTATCATCAGCAGTACTCTTTCAGTTTTTAAAAACATACAGTATCTTAGTCAAAATGATTTAATTTTGTTTGATTTAAAAGTTTAAAGTACATTAATATCACTACAATATTATGGACTGAAAGGTCTGCTGTAAATGCTGCTCTCCGAAAGTAAATATGTAAACCTTAATTAAACTGTTGGCGTCGTGTAGGATTTTTGTCGCATTTTGTTACAGGATAGTCTACGAACACACGGCTTTCTTACGCTACCTACCAAGTGCATCTAAGTTACAGAGAAACGCAGAGGTTATTTTCTCCCATACGGCATGCCGTATCAAACATTCAATTTAAACAACACTCTTCCAGCAGGAGGGCATGCATGAACTGTAACAGAATAAAAGTGAAAGTGCCCAACTGCAGTTAAAGTCGACAAATTAAGAATTTGGCAAATAATTTGGTTACTGCTGTCCATGTAAAGTCGTCCCATCGTCACTGTCTTTCTTTTCTACATCTGAGTGTTGTTTTGCCTCGGTGAAAATCAGAGCGTGCTAAAACTAAAAATCCTCTTTTCATGCAAGTCCTTCCCTCTTTCACCACCTGACACTCCCACAAAAAAAAAGCTGGACTCACCCACTTTCCTGACTTTTTTTCAAACTAGAGATGTAAAAACACCCAGCTGAGATGGGGGGGGGGGGGGGGGGGGGGTTCATGGCCCTTTAAAGGCTTAACTAAGTTAGTTGGGTGAAGTGGGCAAGAATGGTTTTTTCTACAGTGAGTTGAATTTAAAAAAGAAAAATCTTAAGAGGGCTATTGACATTGACCCTAAAAATAAAACTGCATTAATTTCAGCTTAATTTAAAATACATCACATTTTCTCCTGAATTATTATATAAGAAGAAATACTGTGAAAATCTCTTTCCTTTGTTAAACATCATTTGAGAAGTATTTGAAAAAGAGTTTATTAAAACATTGAACAGGAGGGCATATAATTTTGTCTTTATCTGTAAGTGTGTTAAAGGGGTCAAACCTTTTGAGGCAGAGATTTGGACACATTTTGTCTCTTTGCTGATTGGTCGAGGCTGTCCTGGCCCCCAAGACACATAGTTGAGCACTGAATGATCAGACCACCGGAATCTCCCATCGTTCTTAAATGTGTGTAATCCGACCCACCACAGTTCATTTTCTTGACGGGACATCTAAACACAGAAAAAAAACACCATTCCTAATCAGTATTTTAAATACATTTCATATACAGCCAAGAAGTTACTGTAAAATAAAAAAAATGCTCCACAAAAAAAAAAAAAAATTTATTCACACCAAAAATGAAATAATTTTCTGTTTCGTATCTGATTCTTATATCGATATTACATTCAAATTTCTTTGAAACATAAAAAGGACACTTTTCGGATCCATGCTTTTAGTGATTGAATCACAAGAGATCATGCTAATATGCATTTAGAGGCATCTTTTATGACCACCTTTGTTTACTTGCGTGTCATTCTTTCATGCCCTACATAACTAGTAAATCCGCTAATTTTCTGAAATTTTTTTTTCCACCTGGGGACATTCATCCCGAGGCCCCCAGAGATTATGCAGCGCCACTGATGCAATACAAGACTGTGAAGAAATGATGCCAAGGTATCCATAATCCTGGATCAGTCCGTATCCTAGTCTGATGCTGTGGTGGTCGTGGAGGAATGGATTGCATGAGACTGATTCCTGAAAGACCACAGTGACAAATGAGTCCACGCATTGATCCTGTGGGCTAGCCTGATCACACGCTGGTGACCTACTCACACCTGCAGCTTCTCCATGATGGACATCCAGCTTCTCCGGAGCCTAGACTGCAGCTTTGCACAGGAAGTTTGGCTAGAGGAGAAATGGTCATGCTCAACAGAGCCTGGTTTCTCTTGATGTTTATTTATTTTTTTGCTTCACTTCATCAATTGGTGCAGTTTCTTCCTCGCTACTGTCACCACTGGCTTGCTTGGTTAGGGACTTGTAGAGCTGCGTATCAATGAATTTACTCCTCAGTGTTTGGACTTTCTGCAGTAAAATTTAAACCACAATGAACTGAACGAAACTGAACTTCAACTTTAAAATTTGGACTTTACCGGAACTTCTATGTTAAGCTTCTTTGACACAATCTAGACTTAAAAAGCGCAATCTATATAAACATGAATTGAATTGAATAGTGAATAAAGTATCTGCTTACATTGTTTTGCTATTTCTGAGCACAATTTTGTCAAATAAAATCTGCAGATTTATGCGGAATGATTTTAAATGTACAGTAACAAAAAAGTTATCACATAAAAATAAAAAAATACTACATTTATTTAAGGTTTACAATGCAAATCCAATTACAACCACGTCTTTGACAAACAAAGAAAGTCTCCCAAAAAATATATCTACTAATAGACAAAAACTATTAAACTTACAAACTGTACTGTACTGAAAAATCTAAGCATTTGCATATTATTCAATAAAATTACTGAAATAAAAATATAAAAACCAACTAAATATATATTCACACACATTTCCATAGGTCAATAAATAAATAGACTCAATGATGAAAATTCTGCAGATTTTAGTAGCCAAAGATTTCATGTGGGTTTAAAAATAATAAGAAAAAAAAATGATGTGTTGTTGAAATAACAAAGACAAAGCTGACAGCGTCTTCACTTTTTGGACCTGTTTGGAAATTTCATGTCAATCACACTCAAAAAATGACTTTTTTTTGGGATGACTTAATTATTTTATGTTCAATCCACTTACATTTGTAAAAACTTTAACTTCATTTTGTCTTGTTTCCCCAACACAAATAGTTTGTGTGGAACCCAATTATTAGGGTGAACATTAATTTTCATAATATACAGTTGAAGTTAGAATTATTGGCCCCCCTGAATATTCTAATCATCCCCTGTTTATTTTTTCCCCCAATTTTGGTTTAACAGAGAGATTTCTTCAACACAATTCTAAACATAATAGTTTTAATAACACTTTCAATAACTGATTTATTTCATCTTCATGATGACAATAAATAATATTTGACTAGATGTTTTCAAGACACTTCTATACAGCTTAAAGTGACATTTAAAGGCTTTACTAGATTAATTAGGTTAACTAGGCAGGTTAGAGTAATTAGGCAAGTTATTGTATAATGATGGTTTGTTCTGTAGACTATCGAAGAAAAAAATTGCTTAAAGGAGCTAATAATTTTGATCCTAAAATGACTTTTAAAACTGTTTTTATTCTAGCTTAAATTAAACAAATAAGACTTTCACCAGAAGAAAAATATGATCAGACATACTGTGAAAATTTCCTTGCTCTGTTAAACATCATGCGGGAAATATAAAAAAAGAAATACAAAGGGGGGCTAATTGTTCTGGCTTCAACTGTATATTTATGGACTGTGTGCGAGTCTGCTATGTGCACGTACCTTGCGTAAAGTGCTAACCAAAAATTGATTCTCCTTTGGGCTGTGCATGGAGACCAGAGAGGCCTCGAACCAGGAGCAGATCCTCTGAGCCTGGTCCCACGTGGAGCGATGCTCAAACATTTTATACTGAGCCTCTTCAAAGTCAACCCACTCTAAACCAGTGTCTGCACACAAAACAAATATCTAACAGTCACAACTGCTTACATTCAAAATCATACCCAGTTCACATATAACTTCAGTTATGTTATATTTCTTAAAGGGTGGAAAAGGGAGCTTTATGGATGAATATGCGCTGTAATGGACCTTCGTGGCTCTCAGGTTCCTCTTCTACTTTCCCTTTGGGTATTTTGCAGATCCAGTCTAGCTCAGATTCACAGTGGGACACCAGCCAGTTGGTGTCGGCCATGTTAGCAGCTCCGCACTCAGCAGACCCATAATTCCCCCGTCCAAAGTTCTGATAGGTCACCTAACAGGAAGAAAATATACATATTTTAGAATCCTTAAGAACAAGCTACTCTGGGGGCACCATGGTAGATTAAAAGTAGCACATATTGACACCACTTCAATATTTGACACAGCAGCAAATTCAAATGGCATTATGTACCAAAGTTCAGTGGGGCTTCAGAATTTCCACTGCAATCACCTTTAAAAATGACTAAAAACTAGGATTGTTTTGATTTATTCCTTGTTTTTTTAATTTTGTTTTAATTAAGTTATTTATTTTGACCGATATTTATCTGACATGCTCATCATCTGATGGTTACTATTGCTGTGGCCACTGAGATAGCTGCCTGTTTCTCTTCATTTTATATGTTTGGTGATTGTTTGTTCTGTTCTCATGTGTTGATGGATGAGATGTTAAGGGTGTATGTTCCACAGATAAGGAAGAAAAACAGCATTCATCCTTGGGCCTGATTATCTTTTATTCTTTTCCTGTTTATAATAATAAAAAAATAATAATAAATAAATAAATAAATAAATATTCACTGTAAAAATGCTGTGGCACACAATGTATTTGCGTGAGGACAACATGAAGAAATTATGCTAGCTTATTAGTTTTTACAAATTCAAGTGTATTGAACATAAAACAATTACATTTTCCTAAAAAAACTGTATGGATTGTGTTTTTACAGCTTGTTTTAAATAATTTGTTTAAACAAACAACAAACAATATTTTTGGTCTTGGTATAACCTTGTTAGGAATAAGGAAGGCTCTCTTTTTTTGTGTGATTTCAAGACCTGCATAAATCATGATTTTTTTAACTCCATTTTTTATAATGAATATTTATTTTACAGGTTATAAAAAAGTAGCAATTGTTCAGATATGTACGGAATATGAGTGTTTTTTTATGATTAAACAAGAAATAAATAATAAATAAATAAATAAACAAACAAATAAATAAATAAAATGTATATTTTTAAAAAATCTTATCCAATAAATCATAAATGATTGGACAAAATATTTTTTAATAATTGGATATAAAGAATCAGAACCCTGAAGAATAAAAGCTTAATTTAATTGTAGGAATTCTGAAACTTTTTATTTGTACTTATTTGTAATTCAGAGAAACACTTCACAATAAGGTTTTATTAGTTAATGTTAGTCAACATATACCATAAACATAATAATGTAAAAAATATAACTTAATAATGAACAATACGTATGGCATAATTGTTTGGGATATATTAATCCTGATTTAACCTTTACTAATGCATTATTAAAATCCAAAATTGTGCTCGTTAACATTAGTTATTACACTGTAAGTTAACAAGAACTAACAATGATGACTGTATTTTCATTAACTAACATTAACAAAGCTGAATAGAAACTTTAATAAACAATTTTTTCATTGTTTGGTCATGTTAGTAAATCCATTTACTAATTCATCAAGTATATTTGTATAGTGCTTTTCACAATAATTAGTTTCAAAGCAGCTTTACAACCAACAAAGCTACTTGCAAAGAGTTGCATTGAAACTTGTGTATGATGTAGGAGGGGTGAATAAAATACAATGAAAAAATATAGAATAAAAGTCACAGTATCTTAAAACACCCACAGCTGATCCGTCACTCCATGTCCAACTGTCACTATTGCGGCGAGAGATTCCGATCCACAGCCAGTGCTGCTCATGTTCCTCCGCCTCCCTGTCCACACAGCCAATCAGAACGCAGAACTGTTAGGTGCTACTGTACCTTGAACAGGCAATTCACACATGATGCAAACACAACAAAAAGAATATTCTAGGGAGTGTAAAAAAAGGTCAATAAAAAAAAAAAAACAGACAGTGGTGTGAGATTTATATATTGCAAACACAGTGGATTTCAGACCTGCACCCTTCATCTCACTCACGTACCCAAAGGCCTCGTGGAGGATCTGGAAGACGAATGCCTCCTCCTCCGGTGTGCTGAAACTGGCCAGCTGAGCTCCGTGTTTCTGGCAAAACTTGTGTGCTTGGATCCACGTCAGCCTCTTTTCCAGTGCACCTGCATGAAAAACCTGCAAACACACAACAACAGCTTTGTAGAGCAACTTCAGAATTGGTTGATCTTTGAAATGAACATTGACCTTTACAGGGTATTAAACTGAAATCTACAGCAGAATGATAGGAATTTTGCTGGAATTGAGATGATCTGTAAGTTTTGTTGTTATCCTCACTATTCGTTAAACCATTAATTTGGCTTTTTTTATTACCTGTGTTCCTAAAACAGAATTATGTCTAAACTGTATGTGTATATGTCTAACATCATGAAAATCTAAAGTTGTGCTAGATAATTAGTTCATGTACTGTGAATTACCATGAACTAACAATGAACAACATTATTTTCATTAACTGATGTTAACAAACATAACAAAAGTATAGTTTATTGTTTGTTTATGTTAAATACAATAACACATAACTACATGTTCTGTATTGTAAAGTGTTACCCTTTAACATGATTAATTAATCAGAATGGTATAAACTGCTAATCTTATTCTAAAATAACTGGTAATTATTTTTTATAAATAATTCCTACAGAAAAACTACAAATAAAAAAAATCATAATCAGTACTGTTTTCAATAACACTTCTTTTGAAATGTGAGAATTTTGACAAATATGGGGGGAAAATTGAGTGAAAATGCTCACATAGCTACAGTAAACTTTTTAATCTGCAAGTTAATCAAAAATACTTATTTCCCCAGATGCAGACATTTGCTGATGACTTCATTTTAGTAAAATAGCCATTTCTAACTGTATATTAAAGCCACAATTTCAAATTTGACAAACCAGTACTTGGGTATTTAAAAAAAAAAACTGCTTCGTATTTAACATAACTGTATACATTTGCAGAGATGTGAGATAATTATTTATTTTATATTATTTATTTTATATGATATTTCATAACAGTTAAAATGTAATCACAAATTAAATGAGCATGTTCTGTATTCAAATTCAAAATGTGAATGCAGTGGGGAAATGCTGGGTTGCTTTAACCAATTCTTGGGTTAAATATGGACAAACTAAATCTTTGAGATAATTTTTTTACATGTATTTTAATACAAAATGAAACAACAACATGGGGTCATTTTAGAAAAAGTCAACAAACTTCAAGATAAATGTTTTCTTAAAATCTTTCAACTATTATGATTTTGCCTATATAGAAAATTACAAAATCTTTCTGTGAAATACATTTTAATGTCTTTAATTTCAGTGATGGTTGACGCGGTGGCTCAGTGCAGTTTCTGTGTGGAGTTTGCCTGTTCTCCCCATTTGCACGGGTTTCCTTCGGATGCTCCGGTTTCCCCAACAGTCCAAAGACATGAACTATAGGTGAATTAGATAAACTAAATTGGCCTTAGTGTTTGTGTGTGAATGAGTGTGTATGGATGTTTCCCAGTACTGGATTGCATCTGGAAGTGCATCCGCTGTGTAAATAAAATATTATAAATATATAACTATATATAAATATAATTAAATAAATATGTAAACATATACTGTATAAATTGGCGGTTCATTCCGCAGTGGTGACCCCTGATGAATAAAGAGACTAACCTGAAGGAAAAAAAAAAAACGAATTAATAATTTCAGTGAAGTTTTCAGTTTCAGTCAAATGAGGGTGACCCACACCCACCTTGTAGCAGTGCCTGAACGAGTTGCTGCTTTTCCACCCTGAAGGGCATGATCCGGTCAGGGAGGGTGTAGGCACAGGCGCAGGAGGACTGGGAATGGAAGATGAGCCCTGATTCTGTTTGCAGATGTATTTGGAGCGAATGCTGGCACAGTCCTTCACCTCCCACAGGCCCATAGCCTGACCCGCCACCATCACCACACAGCCACCCTTTACCTGCGCTGCACATCACCATTAGCACATCACCGTTAGCATTTCTATCACTTATATCATTTAATTGATTACATATTACATCATTACAAGTGTATTTAAATAGATTTTCTAATGACTTCATCTGAAAAGTAACTTTGTTGCTCAATAAGTAATGTAATTGCTTTAATGAATGCTAAAAATCAATAGAAATTAAAACGTAATTCTTTAAATCTGAGTCAAACAGGATCTTTTAGATTTGTTTTAAAACGCTTAGCTCTTAAATGTAAACAATACATATGTATTAAAACTTAAAATAATGATTGCTTTTTTAAAATGCATTTATACATTAAACATTTATATTTCATTGTTTCCTAAACATTTTTAGTAGTTGGACAAATAAAACCTTTACTTGAAATGTAATTAATATGCAAAAAATCTGAATAATATGAATTATAATGACTGTAAAATTACAATTATTTGTCTTTTCTGAATTGCATGTTATACTGTTATGAACTAATCTTTAAACATATTGTCACCTTGGAAGAATAAGGTTCTATCTGCATTCTGAATGATTTTGAGATATTTGACTTCAAAGTTTTTGCAGTCCATATGTCAAACAATTTGTGTGTAACAGTTCTCTTTTTTACATACAGTAACATGACAGAGACCCTAAACATACTCTACATGTAAATTATCAAAGTTCTCTTACATTTGCAGATAGAACCTTCTAGTTCTGAATGGTCATTTTCCACTTGAAATTATAAGGTTCTATCTGGCGGATCAATAATTAAAGCATTACTTTTCAAGAAATACAACCAAAAACATATAATTTGGTGTTGTAACAACATGTTGATGCTTGAGAAAGTTCAATTTTTGCTTTCTATAACATTTATTTCATGTTTTAGGATGAATATTTTTCATTGTTTAAATTAATCATACAAGGCTGGGCTAAGTATTTTGTCCAGTGCAGATGTTCATTTTATCTAATTAATATGTAAATGTTTATTACATTTTATGCTTTATATGAATTATTGAATTATATTTATTGAATTATATGCCCTATGAATTCAATTAAGTTTTTGTCCTTTAAGCCTTAATATCAAATTTAAAGACTTTAAAATAAAACAGACAATGAGCAAATGAATTTAATAAACACTGAAAAATGTTTCACTGACTATATATATACACACACAAATAAAAATATTTCACATTTAATATATGACTTTTTAATAACAATGTACAATGTAAAATTAAACATTTCATCTTAATGTCAAAAAATGCTTCTTAATCATTACATTTACAAACATCTTTTCATTTTCAGGTTTCTTCTCAATTTTGTGTGGTGCAGCATTATTTAGTCGACTGATTTTGTGTGATTTTGTCTTTTTGGGTTTTCCTGCTGTCAATGGAGCACTCCGGCAAAATGACAAAGAAATCTGATCCTGATTGGTCCTCGTTCGTGCAATAAAAAAATGCTAATTGGCTCACAAAAAGAACCTTATAGAGCCAAGCTAGAATTCAGTTTTGTAAAAAAAACGTTTTTGTTTTCTTAAAATGCAAACAACTTATTAAAAAGCATCACATCATGTAAATAAGTAGTCATTTAATAAGAATATGTGAATAACTCAATTTTGACAAAAATGTCAGATAGAACCTTATAATTCTAAGGTGATGTTTTTCTTAAGCATATGTGGTTGCCTTTATAGTGTTATTTAGTTTAAAAAATTAACATTTTCACCAAATACGTATAAATTATTATACTTCTCTGAATTGATTTATATACAACTGGTGCATTTATTTACAGTATTAAAGGCAAGTATATTACAAGTAATTTTATGTAAATTACCTAAAAATGAAAATAAGGAATGTACCCTCAAAACATAATTTTTTGCTGCTTGTTTAAACAACTTACTTAAAATGAGCGGAAACATCACAATTCTTGAGTTTTTTTTGGGAAAACTAAACATGCTCAGTTCACTTAAATTTGTAAAACACATTTAAGTTAACTTAATCAGTCTGCGTTGGGACAACATGAAGGAACTGTGCGGAACCCAGTATTTTGTAGAGTGTTGTTTAATTACAGAAACGAGTTACTTTGTAACTAAGTACATCCAACATTTAATGAGATTCTGTCATAATGTGTGTTTTAAATACATAATGAAGTATTTTGTTACTCCCCAAACTTGGATATCTTGTCCTGAATATGACTGTGTGTTTGTACCTGGCTGGTCTCTGTTCCAGTTGGTGTATGTGAGCTCATCTCCGGTTATCCAGCCAAATGTGCCGGAGCTGTTTTCGTTATTAAGGCCGAGCCAAAACTGATCATCAGTTCGTCCAAACACCAGACTGCTCACGAACGCCTGCTCAAACCTGGATACACACACAGCATAGACTTCATAATTCCTTCATTTCAGGAACAACTGTTGAATCGTGATTATGTACACTGCATATTGTTATGCTGTCATTCAATACCTGTTATTAATTATGGCGAGAGTGGCATTGTTGCTAATGCACATTTCTTTTGCATCTTTAAAAGTTAGGGATTCCTCTCCAACTTTGAAACAGGAGGGACTGTGCCATTTCCATCCCTGCGGAAATTCAACAGAGCGAGTTGTAAAAAATGCTTCATTGTGTTTTATGGATAAATAGGTCACACCGGGTTTAAAGTGCTTTTGTCAGCTGCTAGTCAGAAGTTATAGAAGCTCATATTTCATGCAGTTTTGAAATCATACAGAAGAGTTGCCGGTCAATTGTGTATGTTGCAAAATCTGTGGAATCACTTTATTTTGATGGTCTCTTTAATGCATTTCATTGAATTTAAGTTACATTGCATCTACATGCCAACTAATTCTTATTAGATTACAAGTAGACTGTTAGGTTGGGGTTAGGGTTAGAGCAAGTTGACATGTACTTGCAAAGTTTTTTATAGTCAGTTAAATGTTTGCTGAAGGAGCAGTATCAGCAGATATTAAGCAGACAGTCTTCTAATACTTAAATGAGAATTAATTGGCATGTAGTTGCAATGCAAGTTTTAGTCAATAAAATGTGCAATAGGGACCATCAAATAAAGCATTACTAAATCTGTGTATTGTTCTGTCTTACTCAGGACATGACATTCATATACAGCTGAAGTGGCATATGATGCAGTACTTTACAAGACGAATAGTTGAAACATTGTTAACATTGTTTAAACTAAGATTTTTTGCATTCACTCTCAGATATAAAGGTATGAGATCACAAAACTTTTTTTTTTAGTCACAAAATACATTGAATGAGTCAAAATGATTACACAGCAGATGCCCTTCCAGCCACAACCCAGTACTAGGAAACACCCATACACTTTCAAATTCACACACCCACACTCATACACTACGGCCAATTTAGTTAATCCAATTGACTTACAGTGCATGTCTTTGGACTGTAGGGGAAACGAGCACTGGGAGGAAACCCATGCAAACATAAGAAGTACATGCAAACTCTATACAGAAACGGCAACAAAACATTTGAATATTAAGAAAAGATGATGTTCCATGAATATATTTAGCAAATTTCCAACTGTAAATATGTCAAAACACAATTTTTTTTATAATGCATTGCCAAGTACTTAATTTGGACAGCCTTTTTTATCAATGTTATTGTTTTGAACCTCCAGATTTTCAGATAGCTTTTTTTTGGTATATTGTTCATCCTAACAAACCACACATCGATGCATTATTCAGCTTACATGTGATGTATAATATCTATTTTAAAACATAAAAAGCTTTTTGAGGTCATAGGGTCACATAAACAAACCAAAAATAGTTAAAAAATGTACCTCTTGAAACTCTGAGGTAAAAATATAGATACTTTAGGTACAAACGTGTGATGTATAGTCACATTTTAACGCTTAATTAATGAATAAATAGTAAAATAGCTTATAGAGAGTTCATAGAGTGATTATGACTGCACTTAAAAATAAGACTAAAAAAAAAAACTGAAGTTATTAGTTATTATTTTTACTATTATGTATTTTCCATTGCGTTATGGGGTCACATCCACCTTCAACCAGAAGTTGCAGAAGCTCATATTTCATGCAGTTCTCACACTTCACTTCAGTTCTGAGGTCTGAAGAGACTGTCTGATGAGTTTTTTTTTCCTGCATTCATACTCGTAAAGTATGTCACTGCAGCGCTTCTTCCTAAGACGAATAGTTAGAACTTTTCAAAACGCACCTGGAGACTTTTTTCCCAGTCATATATTTTGTCATGAGGACTTTCTTAAAAATGCAGTGTAAAAAACTCATCTCATTCTCATGAACCCAATATGATTAGGAAAAATCATTCAAATATTAGGAAAATATGATGTTCCATCAATATATTTTGTAAACTTCCAATTGTTAATATGTCCAACTCATCTTTAAACTTATCTTGTCTTGATCTGATCACAGCCCTGATGTCCAACAGCATAAACCAGTCAGTACTAGCAAGGAATTCTGTGTTAGGCTGGTTCTGTAAGGAGGTGAATCTGACCTATGGCAAAATGCATTCACAAAAAAAATAGCAGGACAAAACATGCAGAATCACACACATAGTATGCACACACTGCCGTTTTAAGGAATGCACCTAAATTACACGTCAGCACTTGGCCAGAGTCGGTAACTTGACCTGTCTGCCGGCTGTCTGCCGGCTGTCTGCTCTGCTGTGGTGTGCTGTTCCAGACACATGCACTTCCTCACTGTCTCACATTTAGCAGATCATCACAAAAATGAACATTACATTCTAATAACAATAGATTTTCATCCGCATAAAGTGTCTGTTAATGTCTTATGAAATTACTGTACATTGTCAACTTTTCAAATTTGTCGAAGAAAGACCGACACGAGAAAAGGAGGCAAGAGATTATTATTGTTAAAAATAATAATAATAATAATAATAAGTAATTATAACAATAATAATAATAATAGGGGCATCACGGTGGCGCAGTGGGTAGCACAATCATCGCCTCACAGCAAGAAGGTCACTAGTTCGAGCCTCGGCTGGGTCAGATGGCATTCCTGTTTGGAGTTTGCATATTCTCCCCGTGTTTGCATGGGTTTCCTCCAGGTGCTCCGGTTTCCCCCCCAAGACCAAAGACATGCGGTACAGGTGAATTGGGTAAGCTAAATTGTCTGTATGTGTGTGTGAATAAGTGTATGGACGTTTCTCAGTGATGGGTTGCAGCTGGAAGGGCATCCGCTGCGTAAAAAATTGCTGGTTAAGTTGGCGGTTCATTCCGCTGTGGCGATCTCAGATTAATAAAGCGATTACACCGAAAATAAATTAATGAATGAATGCATAATAATAATAATAAATCTGACCATTCATCATCAACTGCTTATGAATAATAAATGCAAATATTGTTGCAAAAATGTGGGTGATTTTTAAACTGTATTTTCTTGTTTTCTGCAAAGATGTATTCATTTTTTTAGGAAAATAAAGTGACCCTGGAGCACAAAAATGTCTTATGTTGCACAGGAATATTTTTTGGGGAAAAAAAAAAAACATTGCATGGGTCAAAATTATTGCTGATGATTCATGCTCAAAAAAATGTAAAATTAAGTAAAGATCATCTTCCATAAAGACATTTAGTAAATAACCTATACTATAAATATTTAAAAAGTAATATGCATTGCTAAGATCTTAATTTAGACAACTTTAAACACAACTTTCTCAATGTTTCGATTTTTGGGGTTTTCAAACAGCTGTTTCTCAGCCAAACGTTGTCCTATCCAAACAAACCATACATCAAGGGAAATTGATATAGTGTGCAAACTGTTCATCAATTTCCAAACATGTACACTTATGACTGGTTTTGTGATGCAGGGTCACATATTGTGAATATAAACAGTTACACTTACAAATTCAAATTGGACTTCTTCACTATTTGTGCTACAAGTATGAATTACTCATTGCTTACTTATTTTGCAAATAATAGCAACCGCCCAGCATTACAGCGTAGCAACATACAACCCAAAAAGCAACAGTACACTCTGATCTTACACTCATAAGAACCATTTGGGGAAAGAGCATAAGCAAATTTAGTCAAACAGTCTGATTTAAAGCTTTAGGGTGTCCACGTGTAGCTTCTGCACTCTGACCTGTGTTTTGGCATTCAGGGTCACAGCTCGTCTTTAACAGATGTCTATTACCAGGGTCACAGCACGGTAACTGCACTATATTGATTCATATTGACAGACATGAATGACAAAGGTGTAAGTGATAAAGCTTAAATTATAAGTACAGTGAATGAGATGTGAATTTAAGGAAGTATTTTACTTAATATTACCTTAAAGGCTCCCACTGTACATTTTTTTCTTTTATTATTGGTAATTTCAGTAATTAAAATAAATAAATTTTGAGCCTGTCCCTATGTTCTGGTCTACTCTGTTCATTCATTTAGTTTTCTTTTTGGCTTAGTTCCTTTATTAATCTGTGGTCGCCATAGCGGAATGAACCGCCAACTTATCCAGCATTTGTTTTACGCAGCGGATGCTCTTCCAGCTGCAACCAATCACTAGGAAACACCCATACATTCTTATTCAAACACATACACTACGGACAATTTAGCTTACCCAATTTACCTACCTACCACATGTCTTGTGGGGGAAACCAGAGCACCCAGAGAAAACCCATGCGAACGCAGGGAGAACATGCAAACTCCACACAGAAATGCCAACTGACTCAGCCGAGGCTTGAACCAGTGACCTTCTTGCTGTGAGGCGGGAGTGCTACCCACTGCGCCACCTAACTCTGTTCCATCATTTATAAAAAGTAATATAACAATATTTGAAGCACTGATAGAAAAAGCATGTGACTTGCTTCAAGAGATGTCACTCCCTCTGGCTTCCACACAATTCCTTCAAGCTGTCACGTTGGAGGATTGCGTTTTTTACTAACGTGTGACTACTCTGTTAACAAGCTACCAGTTACATTGTCCAATTTTTATCAACAAGCTCTTAAAGCGTGGAAGTTCTGTTACATGCACAATTTCTCGCCCCATAAAGTAATTTTGTGGAATAATTCTCATATTACTGTTAACCGGAAATCTCTGTACCCGCAAAATTTGACAGATAAAGATTTTTTTTTTTTGCTTATCTGATATTTTGGACCAATCAGAAAATTTACTTTCTTACAAAAATTTTATGGAAAGATGGATATTCCCTATTAAATTTAATAAATATAACTTTGTAAAAAAAAGTAATTCCCTCTGGTTTACTAATGCTAATGAGAAGTCATATGTCTTCATATAGTACTAGTAGAAATGATTCTGCACTTTACTTAAATAGGGTAGACTTTTGTAGTAAAAATGTACAAACAAAGTTATTAGATTAATATTTTTTTAAAAACAGAGCCTTAAAACCTAGAGAAAAATTCTTTTGGAATGTTTAGTTTGAAGATATTGTGTGGAAAAAGGCTTGTTTGCACCCTTTTCGTTTCTGCATAGGTAATACAGGGAACTACATTTAAAAATTTTACACATCATATGTTAGCAATTACACATTAACTAAATTAATGCAGATGGATGGAAACTGATCTATATCACCTTCTCTTTGATTCATCTTTTTTTTAATGTGATCTATCATTGTATGTCCAAAAAACAAACAAAAAAAAAACAAAACAAAACAGGTTTTAGTTGTAATTTGACCCCCAAAGATGTTATTTTTTTATTTTGTTTCAAACAATTTATCCATAGAATTTATATCAAATCTATTGATTTTGCTTGGTAAATTTCATGCTCATAAATGCAGATTAAATAACACTAAACCTTGTTTAAAGGTAGCTATTAGATTTTCAATTGTATATAGAATCACTCCAATATATATAGCTAAATTTTTAAAATACAATAATAGTGGCAAAGGAGCTGAAGTTAATTGACTAGTAATCATGCTGTCAATTTGTTAGGTTAAAATAATATCATTATAAAGATCTGTATATTGAATTGTGTTTTTTTAATTTATTAAATTAATGTAATTTACTTTTAAGTTTATTTTATGTTATTAGTTACATTTGTATTTTTTGGATGTCATGTTTAAATTGTATATTTGCTGTTGTTTAAAATAATAATAATAATAAATCTTTCATGCTGTTACAACAGATCAATTACACTCAAATTTATTTTTTGTTTTTGCTCGTTCAAACTGCTCATTTAAAATGAGTTGAAACAACACAATTCTTGAGATTTCATTGGGACAACTTAATTTTTTATGTTTAATCTACATAAATTTGATAAAAGTGTAAAATTAACTTAATAAATTTGTGTTGAGACAACATGAAGGAGTTGTGTGGAACCCTGCATTGTTTACAGTGTAAGTTAACTTAAATGTTTTTACAAATCTAAGATGATTGAACATAAAACAATTAAGTTGTCCCAAAAAACCCTTAATAAATGTGTTGTTTCAACTCATTTTTAATGAGCAGTTTTAAATAAGCAGTAAAAGTCAATTTTTGTGTACAAAATATTTATGATTCACAGTAGATTATTCCCCAGAGGAGGGTTGCATCTGGAAGGGCATCCGCTGCGTAAAACATATGCTGGATATGTTGACGGTTTATTCTGCTGTGGCGACCCTAGATTAATAAAGGGACTAAGCCGAAAAGAAAATTAATTTGGAATTAATTTTAAATACAGCCATTCAGAAGCACAGAATAGTGCACTTACTGCACTCCAACGAAATGGTAAGGTTTATAATCTAATTAATGCATATTAAACCTTTTTATCATGATTAAATGTACATGCTGAATCACTGATATGTCTTTACTTGCACTGAGTCACAGTTCTGAAGTTCAATTTCAAACGGTTTATTTTATTTTTTATTTTTTTATAAGATCTGAAGTGAACTGTCTACTGCTGCTTTCTGTAGTATGCCAATAAATGGCATGTAAAATAGCATTCAAACTCACATTTTTAGCATTATTGGTAGGAACAACATCTTTCGCATGTCGTTGCATTTTTAGAACATAAATTAAATCAGCCTTTAGGCTCAATAGTCAGGCACACTCTTGTTGGTGTTGTCAATCTGGCAACCTGAGCTTGTGCGTGTTTTGAATCAGTAGTGCAATACCTACTTCAACCACTGGGTGTCAAATTACATACTGCATCTTTAATAATGGATTGAATTTACTGAAGACTACTCATTTGTTGTATATCATTTCAGTGTAAGCAAAAGGAACAGAAAATGCTTGAATGAAATGTATCCACAATTCCTTAATGTATAAAAAACACAGTATCATTTAAATTTAAGAAAAAAATCCAGCCAACGTATGCACATTTTGCATTTGTTAGTATAACTCGGCCCGTGACCTCACATTTTTGTCCTCGCTAGCAGTTCTGAGTTATGAGTACTAGCATATGTGAGTCAGACTTTTCTGTTTACTGTACGCTTGTGTCAGGTCGGGCTCTGCTGACCACATCTGGTGTTTTAACAGCATGACACAGCAGCGGCTCTGAATGGACTCTTTATGCACAGAGAAAGAGAGCGACAGAAAGTACGGAGGAGAAGAAATGCAGCTAAACAGAAGTAACAAACACAAGACAGCAGGGGCTGCACAGAACAAAACAAGAAGGCATAATTAGAGGATTAAAATGAATTAAAAGACAGGGAAGACTGAGAGGCAGAAGGAAAAAAAAAAGGCAACCAAAGTGAAAGCCTGGAGTGATTTACCCGTTTGCAGCCGTGGTCTTGTATCCGGTCGTCAGCTTTCTGGGCCGGTTTCTTACAGATGGAGGGCAGAGAGTAATTACATGGGCTATCGTTCCAGCGGCCCTCCTACAAACACACACACACACTGTATAATGAGGGGTTATCGCTATGAAGCTGCTATAAATTTAGCCTTTTAGGTTGCACTGTCTTAATTACGAGTATAAAATAAAAAGGATTCATATCCATTAGCATCAGTCTGACAGGAATAAGGTTTGCTGCAAAACATCCTATGAGTGAATTCCCACAGAAATCTCCAGAGAAGAACCAAAATAATGCTTTTGATTACATTTAGGTTTTTTTCTGCATTAGTTGCTTTACAGTTAAGCTCATTCTGAAAGGTTTGAGGTGGATTTTATAGTATTTCATGTTCATGGAAAAAAGTCACTGACACTAAATCAAGGCTGCTTTCATTTTCTTAAAAAACTTTTTATGTTTTATGTTTTGGAGTTTAAAAGGTAGTTTACTCGGGTCTTGACAACATTTTGCATCATTCCTTCAGTGTTACATGAGTCATTATAAATTATTCTAATATGAAAAAATCATGGACCCTGGACCACAAAATTAGGGTCATTAGGGTTAAGTTCTTTTTTGTTGTTGTTGAGATTTTAACAGATTTGTGTGTGTTGAGCATCCGTTAAGAAAATGTTAGCACCAGCCAGCTTTAATTGTGGGGAAAACTGGATAATTTTGAGCTTTTGTCAGCTACTTTTAGCTTCCGGGGTTAAAATGATTTTTGGGCTGGGATCAAAATCGGTGACGAAGTGCAAAACTGAAAGTGAAGCGATGACGCGTCGGTTTCTCATTTTTATTCATAGCGGAGTTTTCTTATCCTTTGAGAAGAGCCGGCTTCTTAATTATTCATGACTGTGCATGCTTTACGAAGGCAAAACAGACCTGCCAGTGCCAAGATGTGAGACCCTATGTTGATGACTGGGTGAGACCGCATCCACGGACCCACGCACACAGTATTTATCTGGTCATGAAAGGTTGTATGTGTTTGTATCCATGATCCACGGATCATGTTTGATGCATGTTTTTTTCCTGCAATTCTGTTAGGGCTGATACAGCAAAGCTGTATGTGTGCAGCAAGCATTTTTGTCGGGAGAGCAGTGCGAGAATTGGAGAATGGCGGACTTTTGTCTTTTATCAGTTCATTCACATTTAGACACATCGCCACGCTGCTGTGTTCGCCTAAATCCTCCAGATTACCAGCAGGGCTAATGGTTGAAATAGACTAGAGACCTGCTGCATTGAGTCTGCATTCAGACCCGGGGATTGAGGGAGAAGTCCTCATTTATAGTGTTTATATGAACACGATTATCTTTATAATGATATAAATTGTGGTTATGTGTATATGAAATAATGAATAACAAATGTTGCAGGGTATTAAATTACTGTTTATTTCTTTGCGTTTTAACTTTATAATCTATAAAATCATGCGTGTCCTCATGGTTTGTGTCTCATTTTGTGAGCTGACTGACAACAGTTGTTTGCTCCCCTCCTTCTCCACTGCTCTGCGGGCCACACCCACTCCTGCTGACACTCCTGCACTCCTGCTGACTCACTGAGCTTCACGCCCACTATGATGCTTTTTTTTTTTTTTTTTACTCTGAGGTAGACTTGAGCCGAAAGTGGGGGGGTGTCATGGCCCTTTAAATAATTTTTATAATATTTAATATATTAATAATATTAATAAATAATAATAAGTAAGCTTTACATTGATGTTTGGTCTGTTATTGTAATATTTCATCTACTGAAATTATATTACATTACATTACGTTATATTACATTAAATTATATTATATTATGTTATTTCATATCATGTATTTATGACCCTGGACCACAAAACCAGTCATAATGGTCAATTTTCTGGAAATAATAAATAAGAATAAATAAGGACAATATTTGGAGATACTAATGTAATGTAATGTGTATTTATTTAATGCATTTATTGTGTAAGGCCATACACCAAAAGCGCTTCACAATCATGATACTCCACCACCAGTGTGCAGCATCCACTTGGATAATACAATGGCAGCCACAGGACAATTCAGTGGATGGGGACGATTGGCAGGCCATGATGGTTAAGGGCCATCAGTATAGTGTCCCCTTCACTTTACTGAGGCATTAGGACTCACACCGACCGCAAGTTGAGCGCCCCCTACTGGCCTATCTAACACCACTTCCAACAGCAACCTAGTTTTCCCATGTGGTCTCCCATCCAGCTACTTACCAGCCTCAGCCCTGCTTAGCTTCAAGGAATCAGTCTTCGGCTGCAGGGTGATATGGTTGTGGCTACTATTATAGTTGTAAAGTATTATAATATTACAATATTCTAAGTAATATACTGTTATAATATTATATAGTATATACTATACTGCTATTTGAATATGCAAGTGCGAAATATTGAGAAAATCACCTCTAAAGTTGTACAAATGAAATGGTTAGCAATGAATATTACTGGTAAAAATAACATGAATAGATCTTCACTAAATATTCTAAATATTCTTGACTCATACCGTGCATTTTTGGCTATATTGTGCCACAAATACAACTAATTTTGTATATGACTATAAGAATATTAGTGGTTAAGGGTCACATTTAAAAATACTCACAGGGCCCCAGATGGTGACACAGTCCTCATTAACCTCTCGAAAATTGTTGGGTTCAAACGGGTGCCAGTAAGTGAAGATGACTGGAGTGCGATCCGTCCATTCAAAGTTCATCTGCATTGCTGTATCATGAAGACCAATCCACAACTCTTCTATATCTAAGACACACAGAGACAAAGAGAGGCTGAACATTGTGCACAATTAAACCAATTACAGTTGTTAAAATTATGAGCCCTCCTGTAATTTTTTTTTCTTTTTTTAAATATTTCCGAAATGATGTTTAACAGAGGAAATTTCAGTGTGTCTGATAATATTTTTTCTTCTGGAGAAAGTCTTGTTTGTTTTATTTTGGCTACAATAAAAGCAGCTTTTCAAGGTCAAGGTCAATATTATTAGCCCCCTTAAGCAATGATTGTCTACTGAACAAACTATTGTTGTACAATGACTTCTCTACTTACTAACTTGTCTAATTAACTTAATTTATCTAGTTAAGCCTTTAAATTGTTCTCACTTTAAGCTGAATACTAGTGTCTTGAAAAATGATGAAAATATGCAAATCAACACACAGTGATTCAGCATCTACATTTAAAAATGGCATCATGGCAAAGATAAAAGAAATCAGTTATTAGAAATTAGTTAATATGTAAATAAATTATTATTTAGTTATTACGCTGTTGATTAAACATAAAAGCATAAAAAATATATATAAATCAATTTGGTAAAAAAAAAAGAAAATACCAGACCTTTATAATATAAACACCCTAATACTGAAAAAAGAGATTATATATTAAATTTCTTGTTTTCACTTAAAGACTCAAAATGGATAATTAAATGTCTGTGTTATCTGTATATTGGTCAATGTGAATGTGAATTGTGTATACCTTTCTTCATATGTTTCGTGATGTACTCGAGCTCTGGCAGGGTGTGTATGCTAACAAGATTAGCCTCCATCTTCTGACATGTTCTGTCAGCTGATCTCCAGTCCAGTTTGTCTGAGTTCAGCCAATAGCAGCCCGTCTGGAAGTTCTGCCAGCCCACGTCACACTGGTAATGGCCATCATCTGCCCACGAGTCTGTTTCACAAACAGAGACACACACAGGAGATATTTAATCCAAAAGTAGTGACGAACGATCTTGATTTTTGTGTCTAAAAATTCAGGCAATTTTGTAATCAGAAAAACTTTGATGATCTCTTTTTTCAATTTCTTTTTGTAGTTGTTGTTTTTCTAGTTAAATAAGGCTGTATCATTTCACTGTATGAAGGAAAAACAAGGATTGGACTTTTACAGTGCAAAAAAAAGTTTTTCTTCATGTTTTGTCTTGTTTTTAGTAACAATTTCTGCAAATTATTAAGCTGGATTTATACTTTGCCTGGCGCCGCATCTTCATTAATATCATTCAACATGTTTAAAATAATAGTTTTTATTATTTTTATAAATTATTTTTATGATTTAATGATTATAAAGATTTTTGTAACCATTCAAGATTTCTTTTTTAAATCAAACTTTGATGCATCACTTGCTTTCGTTCATATCTCAGACAGTTTACTCTAAAAATAAACACAAACAAAACACAAGTTACTCTACAAATATATTTTTTTATTATGGCAAGAATAAAAGCAAATAAAAGTACATTTACTAAAAATTACAGATGTTTTTTAGATTTAGCCCGCTCCACAATCCACACATCTGGCTAGTTTCTGTCCTATGCTTACTGTATGCTAAAAAGGCAATAATGGTCTTACATTCCTGACCATTATCACCAATAAAGCCCAGAAAAGCAGGGCATCAGTATACTGTAAAGCGATAGCTTCAAATATTTCTTTTCATTTATAAAAGAAATAATGTTCCTTAATTATAGTTTTGTAACTATTATATTGTTTTAAATCCAAAACTGTAACTATACATCAGTGTTAAACCTATGAATGGTGGAAAAACATATATCTGTAATTGTGTACCTGGGTCTCCACTTTTGCCATGGACTCTATTGGCTTTAACAAATTCATCCCTTAGGTTTTTCCAAACCTTCAACGCAAAAGATTTCCTCCTTTCCCACGGCTGTTGCAATTTCTAGCCAAGAATTATTGATCATCAGGTTATCTCTATGATTAAAGATCACAAAGATGTCTGTACAGTCATACTGTTTCAGACTAAAATCTCTTTAAAGTGGTTCATACTCAACTCAAAATCTGTTGCGGCGCCGCGGACACTGTTCGCTTGAGTCTCAAAAAAAAAATCATGCGCTCCACAATTAAACCAATTATTATATGGGGATGATTAGGAGGTCATGATAGACAGAGGCCAGTGGGCAAATTAGGCCAGGATACCAGGGTAATGACCACATATATTATCATCAGCATATTGACAAACTGTCTTAAAAAAATTTTCCACCAGCCAAAGTGGCAAGTGGTTAGCAGCTATTTAACCTGTCACAGCTGAAATCTACCCACATATGGGGGGTTGGTGGGTGTTAATGTCAAGCCCTGCTAGGAACTATAATCTTTTCATTTAGAAAACAAAGAAAGCATTTGTAATTTTATAGAAATTTAAAAAATGTTATTTTTCTGGTGTAATAGTCAAAGAACTTTGCTGCAGAAACATGGATGCAACAGGAGCAGTAATATTACACAGCTTCAGAATCTCTTGAAAGTCATCAGCTAAGTAACAAGAACCAGCATTGTGCACTATTATTAACACACTTTTGAGATTTTTGAGCGAGATGCTAATGGTCTAATCTGATTCAATGATTTATGCTTAGCTAAGCTAAAAGTGCTCCCACCAGACCCAGAGATCGGCTGAAAACCACCCTAGGGAAATTTTAAAATGAGCCTATTTCCAATAAACTGGAGTGTTCAATTAAGGTGACTCAGCAGAATTTAAATTTAAGATTATTTTGCACTTAAAACAAACATTCCATGTTAGCTGAATATACTAAAACTGAATGGCAGGGCCATACGAGGTTTACCTCAGAAACAATGTAAGCCATATTTAATGATTTTAAGTGTATGCAGTGGTAACTCTACTCTGTATGTTTATATTGTATGTGCTCCACAAGCCATAAATGTGCACGCACACACGCTTGCACGCACGCACATACATACCTGTGGTGAAGGGGTCGAGTGTGGCGTTAGGTCGTTTCTTGCAAATGTAAGGCAGAGCCACTGAACAGTCTCTGTTGTGCCAGCGGCCCTGAGCATCAGTGCTGATCACACCACAGTTTTCTTCCTCGTCGTAACTTGGCATTTCTATAACACAAGCACAACCCCAAGATAAAAATACATCCTTGCAAACATTGATGCAAATGAGCTCTTATATAATGAGTAAAATGCAAACTGCTAAAAACTGCTAAGCAAGCAGATAATTGTAAAAAGAAAAGAAAAGAAAAGAAAAGAAAAAAAAGAAAAGAAAAGAAAAGAAAAGAGAAAATATTGTTAGAAGTTGTTCAGTATTATAAAATATACAAAAAATATACAGTCTCCTATACACAGTACAACTGGATACAGTCAACTGGTTTGTCACTTGGTCACTGGTAAGGACCAAAAAAAAAAGACTGAAGGAAAGATTTTACACATATTATACATATTGCTAACCACTGAGCCGACATGTTGCCTTACCGGAAAAAAAATGACATATTACTAGTGCACATCTTACATTACATTAAATAATAAAATAATAATAATTGCTAAATATAATTGTAATAAAACGACTCTTAAAAACCTTCTAGTATTGTTGTATGTTTGGTCCCTAATAAACATTTAATTTAATATCAACATTGAAATTAGCTGAGCTGCTTAATATTTTGGTGAAAATATTAATACATATTATAACACTTCATTTGGAAAAAAAGAGAAAGCATTTATAATTTTATAAATGTTTTATGAATGTCTCTTATCAATTCCATTTGAGCATAAATTATTTTGAAAAGAAAAATAGTGAAATTTTTTAATGGCAGTATAAATAAATAAATAAATAAATAAATAGTTTAGGTGGGCATAGTTTTTTTTTATCTCGATTAATCTCACTGTAATTTTGGAAGTAATGTAGATTAATTTAGATTAACATGGCTCATTTAAATCCTGCTGAAGGCATTTAGAATATGTGTGCTACCCAAATAATGACTAAAAGTAATTCTTTGAGAACGGGTTTCTCAAGCTTGGTGGCGCTTTAGACCAGGGGCTCATCTCCTGTTTCCAAAATGCATCACAAACTGCTTGAGAAACTGTTCTTGCGAAAGTTTTTTTCTTTCCATTTGGCATCCTTTAATAAATTCCATAACACTCTCACCAGTCATCACTCCTTATTTGTGTTTAATACCCCAGTTTGTCACGGGTGAATAAATGAAATGTTCATGAGTGACTGTAACCTGCTGAACTGCAGTTAAAGTCACCCAAAATTACAGAAAACTCTTACATTAAAACACTTCACTTAAACACCTTACTTATATTATTGTCTATTAAGGCAAATAACTAGATTACAGATGTCCATGTAAACGTAGTCTGTAGTGTTTTTGAAGTAAGTAAAAGATCCAGAAGGGCATCCTGCTGATTTGATTCAGTAGGGCATTTTTTTGTCAGACGGCTCACCGGTCAGATATACAGTACATCTGCGCTAAAATATCAGGGTGAAAGTCATCATAGCTTGCGTAGAATAGACCCAGCTCCCAACCCAACTTTGAGAATAGATAAGCGGCAATTTTTTTTTTATCATCCGATTCATCAGCCCACCACTAATAAATAGATAAATAAAAATAAAATAAATAACTTAGGGAAAAAAGGAATTATGAAGCCCTACAAGTGACTTGAAACTACCATAGCTATACAATTAAATTAAAGTAAAAAAAAAAAATCCACTATTTTTTGCTCTAAAGTCCATTAAAGTTTATAAAATTGCAAACATTTCCAAACAACTAATTTATAAAGATATAGTTCACCCCAAAATGAAAATTTTAACTCAAAATATCAATTATTTACTTCATATCGAAAGATATTTTAAAGAAAGCTGAAAAATGTTATCCATTGTCTAACACTGTAGGACAAACCAATACTATAGTAGTTAATGGTTACAGGTTTCCAGCATTCTTCTAATCATCTTCTTTCGTGTTAAAAAAACTGTATAAAGGTTTGAAACAAATGAAGGGTGTTCAATGATGACAGAATTTTAGGTCACACTTTATTTTGATGGTTCATAAGTTGAATTTAAATTACATTGCATCTACATGCCAACTAAGTCTCATTAGATTATAGACAGTTAGGTTGGAGTTAGGGTTAGTGTAAGTTAATATGTACTTGCAAAGTTTTTTATAGTCAGTTCAATGTCTGTTTAAGGAGCAGTATCAAGAGATATTAAGCAGACAGTCTACTAATACTCAAATGGATCATCAAAATAAAGTGTTACCAAATTGTATTTTTTTTATTTTTATTAAACTATCCCTTTAATGTGCTGTTTCAGTGAGAAGATGCTTGCTGCAGTGCCACGTGGGTGGAGCTCGCCTCTAATGAGGGGGAGCTTGAGCTCCAGCTACTCCTCCTGTGCAGCAAGGAGCAGCTGGAGCTCAGCGCTGCCCATGTTACTCTGCAGTGAGTACCACTTGGTTTCGGTCTCTGTGTGGGTGTGGTTAAATGTAGGTGTGTCTTTAAATAGCATGGCCCCACCTGCTTCCCAGTTTAGGTATTTAAGAGGGGCGGAGTCAGCCCACTGCCAGCCACCGTTCAGATCCAGATCATTCAAACCCATCCACAGGGTGGCACTGTATCCGATGAGCAAACCTACACACAAGCACGCACACACCCACATTATAAACAAATTCCTCAGAGCTTTAAACAAAAGGAGAGCAGCAATTTAATGGCTTTTACCAGAACACTTTTCTGATCCCATTCCAAACCAAACCATTATGGTAATGAGCGTAATCATGTTTATTTCCCTCTGTCTCTCACCATTGACATAGATTTGTTCCTCTACTTTGGTGATGCTGAGCAGATCTGCTCCCTGCTGTTGGCAGCTGGTCCGCGCTTCACTCCAAGACAGTGTAGCCTGAAAGTTAAACTGGTAACAGTTATCCATCAAAGAGTTTATGTCCCAAAACGTCTCACAGTCAGCACCTTTAGGGAAAGAGAGAGATGCATTTTAGTGAGCAGGAAAAGCATTCATTTATTTATTTATGTTTTAATGCCATATCGGCTAGGCATGGGGCAATAACCCATGGTTTTAAGGTTTACCACTGTTTGGAAGTCACTGTTTTAAAACTGCTAAAAAGGCACTGTTTCTGTGGTATACATGTTTTTTTTAATACAAGTATTGTCAAACATTATTTAATCTATTTTTAGGGCAACTGTTTCTCCAGCAGCAAATGACCATCTATACTAAAAGGGTACAGGTCAGCCCAACAAACATTTGAAAAACTATTTACTTATGCACCTACATCCAAGCATGCTATGGATCTGAACAATGGCTTACATTATATTTAAAGAAAAGAAAGATATCGCAAGATCACTTTTCGGTTTGAAAAGAAATCTGTTCTAATGACGGTAGCAGAAGTCAATGATTTGTTTTATTTATGTAGCTCGACATGTTTGTTGTTTTAAAATATTTCGTAAGATCAAATATATCGTGTCTAATTGGAAAAAAATGTTTTTATACAGAGATTTAAAAAAAAAAAACATATTTTAAAGCAGTAATCACAGCACTGTGATACCATGAAACCATGATATTTTATCCAAGGTTATCATACTGTCAGAATCGTATATTATATACATTCATGGTAACATTGGTAAAAAAAAAAAATCAATACATAATTTACAAATATAACAGTTTCTTAAAAAAAAACAAGCATCATACTAAAAACCTACAGATGACATCAATACTGATGAAAGGTCAAATAAGCAGTGGTGAAAAGTACAACAATATTTTGATGTCCAATAATGACGTTGATATTTGGTTGATTTTAAGTTGTGTTAGAACGTGACCAAAATCCAACGTCGAGCCAACTTTTTAAACCAACGTCATATTGATGTCAAATACTGACATTTATTCATCAGGTATGGCAACCAAAATCCTGATAGACGTCATAGTGGTAACGTCCACACAACGTCAAGCTGTAACATCATTAGACGTTGATATTTGGTTGATTTTAGGTTGGACATTGGACAATGGAGTCGGCCTGGCGCTGAGTTCTGATGTCAACTCGATTTTTTTTATTTCCAAACAAATAGCAACATCCTTGTGACGTTAGGGTACAACGTCAATCTGACGTCATGTTGATGTCTTGTGTCTGCTGGGCTTTTATGGCCACTTCAGTCATCATACAGTAAACATACATTACCTTCTCATCAGTGACATGCATCTAAACAGTCTCTGAGTCAATGTGTGCAAAGATTTTCTTGGACACTTTTAATGCTTCCAAACAGTTTGCAGCAATTATAAATTGTACATGTCTTGATGCAGTTCATCATGAAGTGTTTTACCTTCTATAATTTTTTTATTGGACAGAAATCACAGGACTGATTTTTCCAATGGGTGAGGCAGGTCGCTGGTTCAAGCCTCGGCTCAGTTGGCATTTCTGTGTGGAGTTTGCATGTTCTCCCTGCGATCGCGTGGGTTTCCTCCGGGTGCTCCGGTTTCCCCCACAGTCCAAAGACATGTGGTACAGGTGAACTGGGTAAGCTAAATTGTCTGTAGTGTATGAGTGTGTGTATGAATGAGTGTGTGGATGTTTCCCAGAGATGTGTTGCGGCTGGAAGGGCATCCGCTGCGTAAAAAACTTGCTGGGTAGGTTGGCGGTTCATTCCGCTGTGGCGACCCCAGATTGATAAAGGGACTAAGCCGACAAGAAAATGAATGAATGAATAAATGAATGAATGAATGAATTAATGATTTTTGTAATCCCAATAAAACACGAAAATATAAAATAGTGACTGTAGGTTGAAGGAAAAAAGTGGAGTAAAACTGCCAATACTGAACTAAAAATATACTCAAGGGAAAGTAAAAGTACACATTTATAAAACTTCTTTGTAAATCCTTGAGAAAAAAACTACTCAATTACAGTAATTTGAGCATTTGTAATTAGTAACTTTACACCACTGCATATAAGATCTTTCAATTTAATCAGTAATAAATACTGTAAAATTCTCCTAAGAGACACTTTATTTTTTTTTGACTTTTCAAATATGCACACTATGCCGTACAGTAGTCTGGCATTCCAGCTGCCAGACTCAAACAGTACAGGAATGTCCTGAATTTGACAGATCAGGTCTGTGAATGACGTAAACAGGGTTGACTCACTCTTTATTGGGCAGAAGCCCCAGCGCTGGTCCTTTCCATAATCGTGGGTCGTGGCACACCAGTGAAAACCATCTTCTCTGCCCACACTGGTGCAGCTGTGGAACCACTGACCGTTGTATAGGAAGGGGAAATAACATGGGCTGGCGTGAGAGTTTCCTCGGATGGTGTAGATTTCTGTGATGAAGAGCAAGCTTGTTTTAGTAAAGGAAAACTGAAACTACGACTATTACTATTACTACTATTACAATCACTGTTTTGTTAAACTGAAATGTGATAATAGAAAAAAATCCCAATAAATGATAAACTAAATGTAAAAAACAAGTCACTGAAAAACTTATTGAAAATAAATAATAATTAGCAAAAATAAATAATTATTTTACAAATTTATACAGTATAAGGACTAATGTTGTTGTGGAAAATCTGACCTACCTACAGCCGAACACATTAATCAAGCACATGCTTATATACAAACTTATATTAAATATATAATTTGATTAAACAAAAAATGTGTACTATCTTTAAAAAAAATAAAAAATACGTACACTAGGCGTGTTTAATTAAATATACAGTATGATCTTTAATATGAAGAAGCTTTATTTTTCTTTTTTGTTACATTTGTATTGTTTGGGATTCAGTGTTTGAACTAGGTATTGCACTCCTGGATCAAAACAAACTCAAGTACCGGTTGCCAGATTGAGGACAGGAGCAAGTGATTTAAACCATGTTCTAAATAACAGCAATGGCACCGGATAGAAGGAATATTTGGAATATTATAGTTTTTTTCCTAACCAACAACTCAAATTGATTTATTAGAAACGGCGTCTATTTCTCACAGGTGAACAACAGAAAACTGACAATAATCACCTCAGGTACACCTCATGTGCTTTATTCAGTGTTAAATGTTAACAATGTGAGTTTAAACGCAATTTTTACATGACATTTAATGCCATATAGTGAAAGCAACCTGCTCACCTTTCGTTTACGTTCATTATATTTATATAATTTGCTAATTAATAAACTCATGTGGAACTCTGAATATGCATCTCATTCAAGTAGCAACCTCCCCCTCTCCCTCGTAAAGCAAATACGGAAGTAACTGAAACAGCAAATTCCGCTAGTCCTGGCTCCATAATAGAACACATTTCTGTTGACCCCATTGTTAACTTTACAACAGGAAAAAAAGGTGTTTATAGCCTGGTGCAAAGAATGATTTTGGTTCATAGAGTGAATATTACTCTTCATGACAACTGCAAGGCGGGTGAATTTTTTATAACTCATCTGCTTCATTTATATTAAGTTATATAAGGTCTGCATGATTAAGGCCGTGGCCACTTGAGTGACAGCTAGGTCTGGCTGATCATCGTCACTTCACCTCAGCTGATTCTGGCTAATTAGCTGCTGAACTTATCATATGCATCTTATTTTTGTTTTGTTTTACGTGGCTTTACACAGTCAATTGTCTTTTGGATTTATTTCTTACAATTATCAGATAATCCTCCAAGCCTCCATTTCCAAGGTGAGAGAAATTATATACTTAAATACCATATATAAATGTAATTGTTTTATTTAAGATTATTTATTTTTTATAATTTTCTTTAGAACTTGAATGCACTCCAGAATCTGAAATGTTGAGAGAACACTAAACTTTACGGTAACACTTCAGAATAATGGTTTATTGGTTATTTTTAATTTAATTTTTAACATTAGCTAAAATTGAATAATTGTACAGCATTTATTAATCATAGTTTAATATTTAATAATGCATTATTAAAATCCAATGTTGTGCTTGTTAATATCAGTTAATGCACCATGAGGTAACATGAACTAACACAAATTATTGTTATTTAACTTAAATAACATTAACTAAAGCTAAAAAAAAAGTTTCCCAGAGATGGGTTGCAGCTGGAAGGGCATCCGCTGAGTAAAACATGTGCTGGATAAGTTGACAGTTCATTCCGCTGTGGCGACACAAGATTGATAAAGGGACTAAGCCAAAAAGAAAATGAATGAATGAATAACGTTAAGAAAGATAATTAAATACTGAAAAAAATGTATTACTTTTGTTTGTTCATGTTAGTAAAAACATTAACTAATGGATTATTTCTTTAAAGTGTTGCCGTCTTTGCTTTGGTCAACACTGGTCATGCTAAATCTGCTAAATTAGAATTACTAAAACTAAAGCTGAAACTAAAAAGAAATTTGTTCACAAGATAAGAAACTAACAAAAGCATTAATGAAATGAACTAAAGCTAAACTGAAATGTACAGCAAAACTATATTAGCTTTAATGGAGAACCAGAGACACATATGAACCAGAAGGCACTCAGAAAGAGTGAGATAGATAACAGTAAATATCTCCTGAATGTGAGGTAAGCGTCCGGCTGATGAATATGTGTAAGTGTAGAAAAGGAGAGGTAATGTTTTTTATCATTAAGAACACAGCATTTGCCATCTAAAGATTTTATCATCAATTATTTGATCATAAATAGTTATCCCAGAAGCAACTTGCTGCTGTTTAAAAATGTAGCCTAAAGTCATGGGTGAAAAGCTCTTCTTACTTGGTCAGACCATGTGGCGGGACATAACTGGGTTAAAATAGGTTCTAAAACCACTACAATTGTGCACTGTAATGCTACTCGAGCAAAAGCATGGTTATAGTCCATGAAGACAAACACAAGTTTTCAATGACACAGCAACCAAGACAAAGACAAAGAGAATACAGACAGATTTAGAATGACAGACAGACAAACAGACAGACTGACACATAGATAAACAGATGGACAGACAGACAGATATATAGACAGATTGACAAAAAGACATATAGATAAACAGACACACAAACAGATGGACGGACGAATGAACGAACGGACAGACAGACAGACAGACAGACAGACAGACAGACAGACAGAGATATGCGGATAGACATAAGATAGACAGAAAGACATAAAAATATAAAGACAGACTGACAGACAGATACAGAGGGGAAAATAAGTATTGAACATTAGCCATTTTTATCAGAAAACATATTTTTAAAGGTGCCATTGACTTGAAATGAAATGTGAAAAATGAAGTGATGTGTAATAAAAGTAAACAACACAGAGAAATGTATTGAACACATGAAGGAAGGGAGGTGTAGAAAGACAGTGAAAGCCCAGACAGCAGCTGAAATCTTTCAGTATTTCTTTAGCAACCCTCTGCCCCTCTTCATTGTAACTGAAAATTATCTGCTTCAGTCCAACATCTATATTATCTGGATGATGAAGATGAAACCAGAGTGGACACTTTAGCAAGACAGTGATCCAAACAAAGCCAAGCATACTCTCAAAAGCTTTCAGAGAAGAAAAATCAAGCTGTGGAATGGTCCAGCCAATCACCTTAAATCCAACAGAAAATACAAATTAAAGATCAGATTTGATAGACGAGACCCACAGCACCATCAAGATATTTACACTCTATTGAAGTCTGTGGAAAACCCACATCTGAGCAGTGCATGTGACTTCATTCTCCACATGAGAGGCGTGCCATCACCAAAAAAAAAAAAAAAAAAAAAAAATTTTTTTGCCTGTTTTATAAGGTATTAAATATGTTTCAGTGGTTCAGCACTTTCTCCTTGGGACGGACGGACGGACCATCCCAAGGAGAAAGTGCTGAACCACTGAAACATATTTAATGACGGACGGACGGACGGACGGACGGACGGACGGACGGACAGACAGATAGACAGATAGACAGATAGACAGATAGACAGACAGATAGATAGATAGATAGATAGATAGACAGATAGACGGATAGATGGATAGATAGATAGAGAGATAGAATTTGCTATTTAAAGTCATCCTTCAGCTCAGTATTCTCAATAGTGTGCATCACACATTTTAAATGAAAGGAATACAGCGTATGCTAACTGTATATATATAACTATATATATTTATTAACTGTCTATATCAACATCCATTTACTTAACAGCTAATTGCAATTTTACAGGATTTAGAGGGAGTTTTCGAAATTATGATAATTCAATGACAAAAAATTACAGTGATTTACCTTGAAACAAGTAATTGTGATAGATAGATAGCCAGACAGACGGACAGGATTTAAAAATGTTATACTTAATAGTCAGTTCATGTGGTTGTGAAACTTCCGTTCTCTTCCTGAACTCTGGTTCCCTCCCTCTCTCTTTGCATTCTCACACTTTCTTCCTCTCGGTTGCCCCGCTGCTGGAATGCAGCTGTTACTATAGAAACTCCTGGGCATTCTGTCTGACTGTACAGATTAACTCTCATTTAACAAAGAGAAATCGAGAGCAGAGAGAGAGAGAGAGAGAGGGAGAGAGCGGTAGACGTGTGAAGGCAAAGGAAGTGTGAGAGTTGCACCAAAACCAAAAGAGAAATAACTATATACTGTAAGAAAAATGAAGCCCAATTGAAAGTGAAGAGAGAGAGAGAGTATAGTTGAGCTATAGTTCTGCCGCTGCTGCAGTTCTGAGATGTGGAAAAGTAGGACACACTCAATAAAAACACACGTTCACTTCCAAAAACTTCACTCTCAGTTGAACTTCCAGAGCTTACGCCATTTCATTCTTGTATGCGAGAACACAGACACACACATGCACACGCAGCTATCTTTATGGGCACTTCCCATTGATGTAATGCTTGTTCTAGTGTACAAATTGTATATTCTATCCCCTTACCCTAATCTAAACCCTAAACCCAATCCTCACAGCAAACTATCTGCATGTTTACATTTTCAAAATACTCCATCATGTGTGATTTATGAACTGGTTCTTCATGGAGACCAAAATTAATCAGAAAATGGTCATTTTCTTATCGTTATACTTATTGGGTGGACAACTAATGCCCACAAAGTGAGGAATACAAGGAATATCCACAGACATATTTCAGAAGCAGGTGTCTGTCAAAAGCTTGTCCAACAACACTCAAACTTTGAAACAGAAGTGAGAGGATAGAGAGCAAACAATATGTGGTGGAGTGTCTGCTTCTGAAAGAGTCTATCTGTGTCTGTTTCTTGTCTTAGTGTAGTATTATTGTCATTGTGTGGCACCCAGTGTTTCAAAAATCATCACATTGAGTTCAGACAGCAATCTCCCAACAGGGCTGAAGCATCCTTTGTTTAGTTGTGTTGCTCTAGATTCAGAAGTATCAAAAGCACAGTGGC